TTGAGAAAATCCTAGACATATTGAAGAAAGACACCAGACCAACATTTTGAATAATTTTTAGCCGGGCTTATTGCTCAAAGAGCAATTGCCGGCTATTGTCAGCCTGTTCAATGCAGGAAGTGTTGACCCCATAGTCGCCAAATTAAAGTTACGTGTAAAAATATAGTACTTACTCTCAACCACTTTTGAGATAATACAAATGCTAGATAAAGCAACAAAAATGAAACGAAGTTTTATCTATACAAATAAACATCAGTAGTAATAACTTTGAAAACTTCAGTCCAAAGTCAAACACCATAGTTCATCTGCGTAATGTTTTTTAATAGTCAATGTTGTCGTAGCCTAGTTCTCTACAAAGACGGAGAAAAGCAGGAGAGGGAACCAGATACATTCGGCGGTGCCATGTTAACTCTGACCCTGATAAATTCGGACTGTGGTTTTAGGTCCCAAAAACTAATTGGTTTATCATTTATTTTGATATTTTAAAATAAATTTTTCATAAGATTTTTAACAATTATTTTCAAATAAGATGTCATTGAACCCTTATTTTTATTATTATTATTATTTTTATAATTGTTTGTACATATTCTTCCAATGTCTGCAGAGCTCATTATTTAGCTGTTGTATGGCTCATGTAAAAAAAAAATCAGCTTTGTAAATAAGCCCGGCTCTCTGTACTCCTGAGTACTTTGATTAAAGTTGTTGTCCCAGCTTCAAAGAAAGAAATACCTGTCAACATTACTCAGAACTCTTCCCCGAGGATGCAGATCCCCTTAAGCCACAGGGAAGAAGATGTCTATTAACCAAGCCTAATCTTTTCAGATTTATTGAATCATTACCTGTGTTTTATCGTTTCCCTAAATTTAAAGCATAGCTAGTTTTGCTTTGAAGTGAAGTTAAATCCAGAGTTACCTCTAGAGCTCTATCAAAAGAAGAAGCAACATTTTCCCTGGAAGCATTTTGGACACATCACTTGAATTTTTTCATAATTTGAGGAAACATTTCTCTCTCAAAAAGATTTGCCAATTCTATGTTTTGAAAATTTCCCAATAACAAATTACATACTTGTTGAATTGACTTATAAAGGGAAATAATTTCTCCTTTAAAAAAAGAAAATTAAATTTGATTGATTTCCAGATTTTAATTTGAAGTTATTCAATCCAATCTAAAATTTACACTTCATAAACTTTTGAATAATACAGATTCACCGTAACAATCATATGACTGTGTATTAGTTCCTCTTTGGAGAATTTATCACATAGTCTCATGTGTACATGAATGAATAACACAAAGGCTAAGTTCAGTTTTATCCCCCCACATAATATAAGCTAATATTGTTGAAATTCAGCCAACAATAACCTCTTAATCTTGTTTGTTTGGGGCTGTAAATGTGGTCTGTGATTTGTGTATATAATCAAGTATGTCAGGATTATTTAAGGATAAAGACTAGCTTGTTGACTAATTTAAACTATCTGGCTAATCTACTGTTAACCTGCCAGTCCATTCTAAACAATATAGGCTTTATTTAATTTCTACAAATATCTCATTGTTCAACAAATTTCAATAATTAAATCTCAAAGTGAATATGTTTCTGCTTGCTGTTGGAATTTTGGTATTGGATCAAAATTTCACTTGGTCACCCCTTCCCATCCACTTTTTCATAAATAAATCAACTATGATGGAGATACAAATTGATGCTAGATTTTGGGGGGGGGGGGGGTCTTGGAGTGGGTTTATCTAATCACTTTCACTTACCCATTAAAATCGAGTTAAGACCAATTTGCATATTTGAATACCGATAACCTCTACACCTTCCCCTGATCTATAATATTTGCATTTTATCTACTACATTGAGAAACATGAATAAAGTGGTTTAAAGATTCGATAAAATGTCAATTGACTGATTAAGACATGACTCTAAACACCCTAATGACAGAATCTAATACCAGGGAGACAAATACCTAAGGGATACTTCTAGAATCCCTATCAACTGGCGATAAAGGAAAGAATGGATCAATAGACAGAAAACAAAGCTCTTGTCATTGGAGACACAAGTCAACCAATTCATAAATCACATACCCAGGACTTAGATTTCTTTTGATCAATATCAATTATGTCCAAACATGTATTGTAGCACTGCAAACAAAAAGATTCAGATCATGTTTAGTGACCCTTTACTAATTTTAGAACAATATTCTCTTTAAATGATCTATGTACCTTCACATACTTTTTTTTAGTTCAGTTTTCTTATCGTGTTGGAAAACTTTGTATAGTTTGTACTAAAACTTGCCCATTTACTTTTTCTCTCATACTCGTTACCAGGCTATCACACTTGTAATTATCGTGTTCCGTAAATATAGAGAATTTAGCCTCAGGCACCTGCACTATTTAGGACCATTAACATTTTACTCTGGCCCAGGTTGGAAAATTGTGCTTGGTGACTCTTGAATGTACTTGCGAAACACTTGATATGCACTTTAATCTAACATGTTTAAAACAGAATATTTTTTTTTATTAATTCATTGACCTTACTTGGTATAAATCTACACAGTTACCTTCTGTCAAGTTGAATTTTCCTGTCACTCTAAGCAAACACATTGCCGTAGGTAAGAATATTGTTAACTGTGAAAGCTGGCAACATTATTAGCATCGAATACTTATCAATATTCATCAGAAGCACTGGGGGAAAAAGGACACTAATGCATTATGATTTTTAGGGGAAATGTGAACAAAGTTTTCAGGGAAATTTTATTGTTGTGTGGATAAGTTCCCAGTCATTTAAGGCATGCATCTTTTTAAGTTTTACACAACAGACACATTTCACATGACAGATAGCATCTGTCTTGTTTTACACATACTTAACCAATGACTTTGCTTGTTAGTTTGTCAATTACAACATTTTCTACGCAATTACACTACCCCTGATAAGTGTGTACCACATTACGCACTTAAACATGATCCCTTCACGACGCCTTTTGCTGGCTAAGTCAGGAAGTTGACTCAGGCAAAATATACATCCAAACAAGTATTCACCATTATAGTTTGACTAAAAAATATCTCGAAATAACTTCAATGATCTACAAGGAAAAAAATCCATCATGCATATAGATTACATAACTACAAAGTGTCACCTTCTAAAATACAAATGTGCACCCAAATTATTATACAAAAACATAGCAATAAAGTATGAATATAAACTGTCATATAGACTTACACAAAGGCCCTTATGTGGGCATAATCAATATGAAAAGGGGTCTTGCATTTACTTAACTTGATGAAAAATTCATGCTATTTTATGTTGCTTTGTCAGGGAAAAATATCTAATAGAGATCCTAATAAAATCCTAATTTTCAAATAAAACCATGTTTTATTTGTGCATGCAACATATTTGCAAGCAACAAAGGCATAGCAGGACCCGTAATCCATACACACACACACACATAGAACAGTTCTGGGACACGTTACCAGCTTAAGATTGTGACTTTAATGGTATTGTTCTTCTTCAAATGTTCTTTTTCTAGATGAAAATTCGAGGAATGGAGAGTCAAGGGAATAGCTGAACTCAGTTCATTATCTCGTAAAATCAATATGGTGAAAAGTAAACTTTTGAATAATTAATAATTCAATGATCAAATGGGTACACATCAATTATATGACCATCAGAATTTCTTATGGTTGCGGAGGGTCTTGTTTTGTTTGTTTGTTTTCTTTTTGCACTGTGAGACGTTCAAGAAGAAAGGCAGCCAATCTAGCATTTCAAACTTTGAAAGCTAAAGATTATCTATTAATATTTAATCTTTTTAGAGAAGGATAAAAAAAGACAGTAAGGTAACCTAGCAAGAAAGAATTTAAAGTACTGTTACAATGTAGATCTAGCATCACACCTACAGGGAAAAGAGCAGTGTTAATTGTCAAGTCATGACGGCAAAACCACATGCATGCTTAAAATATTCCAACTTAAAATATCAATTCCATGCAATAAATGAATCAAACAATACTTAGAATATTGTTTTAGTAGGCAATCATCAGTACTTCATTTCAACTGTACACAAATACTAATTCTTGCAGTCCAGAGTCAGGGAAAAATGGATACAAGTACCTTAAACCCCTGTATTCTAAGAGACAGGGTACTACAATTGTTTTACAGTTATGAATTCTGAATAAGATACTGGTCATGCTTCATACATGTACCATTGTTAATATAGTACATTATAACAAGTGGTTTTTGCAAAAAATAAAGAATACAGAGGTTTTGTTGCATGCTATTTATGAGATGCAGCTCTTGTGAACACTTCCAAATTTATTTTTGTCAACTACAATGCATTGCATTTTCTTACCAAGGGTTGTCATTTTTGTCAAATTCCCTGAAATTCTAAAAAAAGTTGAGATATGTTTTCAGTTACAGTTGGTTTACTCATGCAGCTTTCATCAATCAATGTAAAAGTGTAGAAAGAGATGTTATAATCGATTTAAAAAATGTATATACTGTCAATCAGGCTTAATTCATGCTACATAAATATTTTTCATATTCATAGAGTAAGACATTCATTTCATAACAAAAGAAATGTCAGTATAATCAGACACTGTGTACAGTACTGTCAAACTTGAGACAAGCACCTGCTGGGAGAGGGTGGCTACAAAAGGCTATAGCCTTTCATGTCTTTTAACCTACTGGGCAATTTTGAATGAAAATGTTATATTTTTTAAAGTAATAAGCGAGTGTTACTTATTATCTTGGATATAGAATAACTGTCCATGTATGTAGAAAGTGAGGTTCAAATTTTCTACTGTTTTTAACAAGGAAAAAGTCCTGAGGAACAGAAACAGATAAGACTGTGTTGACAAGTTTTGTAACCCATTAAGTCTCACGGTAAATATCTCTAATAAAAGAATAAATTTGTAATACCTTGTGTATCACACGTGCTCTTTTTGTTTACACGAAAGGAACATATGACAGATGGCTCTTTAATGGGACCTAAAATTTATCGATAATTTCTTACCTCAACATGGCCTTCATTTTCTTTGTTCTCCTCGAAATTACTTCCAGAAATCTGTGTCAATGATGGCCCAACTTTTCCCTGATACTCTGTCTTGATGTTATTCATGTACAAATTCATATCGAGAATAGGAACAGAGACTTGTGTGGCTACCTCCGCCATGTTGGACTGTCAACGCAAAAATCACGCTTCAGAGGTTTTCGAGATGACACTTGATGGCTTGTGTGAAAATAAGTTTACTCGCTATAAACCAGAGATTTAAAGTGGTACATTAACATTAGAGTCCATTGTAGACTCGATTCTATTTTCCGGTCTGTTATATCCGCTGTAACCTTCCTGTTTTCAAATAAACCTCCGCTTCGCTAAGTTCACATGAGTCAGCTGCTGAGTCTTCTCTATGTTTATGATATGCAGCGCGCCCTCTGGTGGTCGTATGCCTAAGTGCAATAAAGTTCTTCTTTTTTTAATATATTCGATCAGTGCATATTATCTATTCAAGATATATTACTAAAGTCAGGTACTCTTCACACAATTGCTCCGAAGAAAATAGTTCCATTCATGATCAGTAGATACAACATTACAACAAATGTTAAGAATAATGATGTATATTTATTTCGTTAAAGAAAACAAAATTAACGTTAAAAGATTTTAAGAAAATCACTTTTCCCCAGAAAAGGAAATAAAAAGTTTTCATATTCCTACGCTCGCTGCCTCCTCAGTCTTTTTCACGAAAATACATTGTATATAGGTCATCCTTCGATTGATAGTGATAAATCTTTTCACCAATTATATACCTGTCATGATTATTGTTCGTTAATTGCCGTACATTTTCTTTTGAGTGAGAATGTTAATCATTAACTATGTGTGTTTTTTTCTCTTTTTTTTTTAAATAACGGAATGGATATTATGGTTAAACACCTGCAATCGTAACTTCTCGGCAAAGCAACGTGATTTGCCGAGCTCGTCGGAAAGGATCTTCGCACGTGTGTAAACCTAGTCTATTTGGTCTTGCAAGCACAGGTATGTGCACCGTTCGATAGCGACGCTTAGATCATGTAGAATGGGTATCAGTATTTGCTACGGACATGAGGAAGAACTATACACCAGTTTCATAACAAGTGCAGGTTTTTTACTCAAGCCCTATAGGGGCTGAGTTATCTAAAACGATGCTAGGTCATTGCACTACTCATGCAGTTTATAAACACGAAAATATACTATTTTTGTAAATAAAAACATTTCTTGAAACAAAAATGAAGTTTATCTTCAAAACGTCTCTATATTCAAAGTCTATATAAAGTGTTAAATGTCGGATTTTATTCTATGACGAAGGAATGTTCAGTGACGCTCCACAGCCGCAACCGATCTCGCGCTTTACTTTGCGTTTAATAACGGCCGTCAATGCATCTCTAGACGAGTTCATTGATTACTCTTGTTGACCCATCTTTAACATCTGCCTATACATTGAGTGATAGTACTTTAATAGCACAAAATTAAAAAAAAATAAAAATCTATCCTTGATAGATCTATAGTTTTGCTATTTAAAGAATTGGGCTATCTTTGATCTTTGCTTGGACTTGTTTCGAATTTTTACAGAAGATTCTAATATTGGAAAGTTAGATGGTACACATGTAGCACAGGCCCATAGTACGCGGGATTTTTTCGGAGCCCCCCCCCCCTTTCACTTTGAAAACGTTGCTACAGGCCTGTAACATGCTATTTGGATTAAAATATTTCTGAAAATGAGTGAGCTGTTAAATACATCTTTAAAATTATACGGTTAATTATATTTAGTGTATGTTCTATGGGAAATTAAAACTATTTTTTAGGCATCTGCAACGTTGTGATAATAAGTCACTATACACGCATGTAACGTTATATATGTACATGCAGTTTCCTTAGTACATGCATATATTTTAATCAACAAAAGATGTTGAAACTCAGTAGCCTAAATATTATGTCATTTTAGGATATTTATGGCCATTGTATAGTTGACTTTCTACAGCTTGAGTATCTCTGACGTTTTATCAGTAAATAGTTTCTTTTAATTAGAAATTATCTGAGCATAATGAAAATTCGAATAAATTAAAAGTCGAATATCTTGGATATGGGGTAACCCATGTCTGTTCTTGTTAATTTGAAACATCGCAAATCTGCAGTCATTTGGGAAAGACAGCTACAAAATTTAGATATAATTTTTAAGAACCATAATTCAGGTCCAAAAGAAAAAAAAGTTGCATGAAATAGTATGATTACAAAATTCAGATAATTACCGCGGGAAAATACATCATTCATTATTAGTGCAAAAAGGACATCCTTTTGTCCAGGGAGAATATGATTGGTCTTTTTCTTATTTTCTTTACATGCATTAACCAATCATTAAACTTTTGTTTTCAGGGTTAAATTGATATGTTTGCCTTTTTTTCAATTCTGATGAAAAAGAGATCCACTGGAAAAAAAGAGACTAGCATAAAAACTTCTTATTTTGTTTTATGTAACGTTTGTTTTTGTTTCAGTTCTGATTTTCATACAACGGTCCCTTTACGCGTTTCAAGATAAAGTCTAGAATTGATAATGTAATCAGACGGCAAAAAAATGTCGTATTTTATGCCCATGAACCATGCAGAAAAGAGGTGTCAAATTCACAATGCTGACTTAAAATATATATCTGTGTGAAGCGGTCCTTGTCAACCTTTTACGAATCTAGATACACAATTTTATGGAAGTTAAAAAATACCTGTGTTTTTATACATATCTGTAGGTATATTTACTTAAAACCATGTGCTACATGTATGCATGATCTTGAATAGTAGGCCAATTTTTATTTAACGTATAATCAGATTCTAATGTGAAGCCACTCAAGCCAGTACTTTATGTTTTTAGCTGACTTAAGTGAATTCATACAGAGAACTAAAGTCATATGCACGTCCATGTTAAGCAGGGTAAATCTGTCCAAGTACTAATAAAATACTTTTAAATTGGCGACTACATTGCGGGGAGGGGGGGGGGTGTTGAATCTTGACATCCTTTTTATCCATCAACCAATTGTGTTCGGCCGGAACCAGGACTCTTGGTTATCATTTTATAAAATGTTTGGTTTCATTCATTTTTTTTTTTTTTAATTTTTTTTATTTAGAATACATCGTAAATTTTATACATGTACATGTTAAATACGGACCGGGGTTGAGCCCCCCCCCCCCCGCCCGCAACTGTGCATCCAACTCACATCTACTAAAATTCAATGAAAAAACCATGAAAAGCTTTGTTTGCTGCAACTTAAACTGGCTACCTGGGGCATCACTAGTCTCCAGAAAGTGAGGTGCAAAGAATTGTGTGGGAGGGGTACTCTCACTATATAAACAAAGATTTTTAATGTTAAGTACCACTGATTTTGATGGATTCTAATGCATTGTTGAGACCCCCCCCCCTTTATATTATTAAATAATGAAAACTAGCAACATTACTTTAAACCGATGAAAATTTAATTTATTTTGTTTTAAAACTGATATTTCCGAGTCTTTTTATTGGAGGGGGGGGTACAATCGCAACCTACACCCCCGTCCCCTCAATTCCACTAAGGGGGAAGGGTAAGGGGTTGTTTCATATTGAATCAGTGATATATTTTTTATTTAAATTAACGAACTGTGTACTATACTTAAGCATCGTGCATTTCGATATGTTTTCTATATTGAATGTTTACATACAGACCTGGGGTTTAACTTTTTTGTCAAAGGCATTATGATTGATTAGTTTTAAAGTATCTTAGATCAGGTACAACTCTCGCTGAGTTGAGTAGTCTAAAAAGAACAGATTTTAAAAGTCGCTTGAGATAAAATCTAGAATATACAATAAAATTGATTCACTTAGCAGTTGTTTTTTAACGATGTAATCTTGCATGGTTTTGTGTCTCAATGACACCTCGACAAAATGTCTTCTTCCTTTTTTTAATCCATTTAAAGGGGTAGAAAAATATTCGCAAGGAGAGAATTTGCACACAAGAGAGATATTTTAATTATACTATGTCCATTAGGCAAATCCTGTATATATGAACATGTTGATTTTGGGCTGTGGGTGTGCAATAATCTTCGAGAGCCTTTCGGTCCGCCGGGGAGCGTTACAGACCAAAATTCATGGCCATCCTCGCTTGCCAATGGATAAACTGAGGCTAACTTGACAAGTTGACTTTTACGAAATCATTAATATTCATCTCTTAAAGTGCGTCTGTGTGTGTGTGGGGGGGGGGGGGGGGGTCAATAGCAAACGTATTCTAAGTATAATTTATTCGTATTAGGTTTTATGCACCTGTGTTTAATTTGTTATTTTTCATTTTTTTTTCAATGGCTGTGTGAAAAGCCGTATATATCACTGAAACTTTCGGTGCTAAAATCACTCATAAAAAATTTAGAGATTTTTTTAAATATCCAAATCGTATTATCACAATCTAGCTCTTAAATGTGCGTAACAAGGACGTAACAATCCCATGATTATAACAGGTTTATCTCCCTAATATTTCCGTATCCCTCTCACATACTGGGTAGAATATAACCAAAGACAGCATAATCAATCTATCATGCAGGAAATCAAATACATAAAATAAACATGCCACGCGCACGATAATGTCCGCTGATTTCTCAATACTAAGGATAACAAAATATTTAATGTTTACTTTAAAAGAAAAAGTCATTTACGAAATGAAAACACCGTGATCCGGATTTCCATCGTTCATATAATACCCCTCTAAAACAAACAAAGGGTTTTAAACGGCTTTTTAAAAAACAGAAAAATATATGGTATGTCAATATGTGCTTCATTTCTACTTGTGATATTTTCTAAAAGGGCTATCAGTGTATATAGTTTAAGGATAGATTTCAGAATCACAATCCGATCTCTCTTAAAGCGGCAATAAACATTTATAAGAAGTGTAATTATTTTAATGTAAATATATACATGCATGTATGTCGCTATGCACAGATATGACAAAACAGAAATGTCAATTTTAACCACATGTCAAAGTTATTTAATATATATGTAATGACAATATATTTAATGTTTACACTAACTTTTAAAGTGCATGATTAAGCATTGCGCATTGCCAAAACAGGGAAATTAAAATGTCCATGCATTGTCTCTGCCATTTACAATAAAATTAATCCTTTAATGTAAAATGTGCACAAGAAAATTAATAATAACAACTAATCATGACATTGCATTAAAAAAACGAGTATTCTTGTAATGGACACTTCAATCGTTTTTTTTTTAAAGAGAAAATACACCTTACACAGTAAAGTGTTATCTGGGGAGGGCCAGCAAAGGTCGATTTTCTTCAATATCAATTGAAGGGGGGATAACTGTCCTTCCCACATATTTAAACTATTTATCTTCGGATGATTCAAACCAAATCACGGTGAGCATTTTCACATGAATTGTTAGATATTTGAAACCTTCCCCCTCCCAACTCTGAATACGATTTTTCGCCATTGTCTGGGATGGGGGAGGGGTTAATGGATAAAAATTTTTCACACAAATTTTATTATAATATCAATTTAATATTGTCATATATGTTGACTTTTTCGAACAACTTCATACAGGAATGATCTAAATAGTTAACTGGAAGATGGTCATAAACAGCAGTTTATTTAATTGATATTTTGTGCTTTAATTTGGAGTACAGATTCATGGCCCACAGCATCTATAGACAGTCATTAGATCCGCCAATCTTTTGACCCAGACCCCGCATCTTCTAATGTAACACGATTCCGTATCGATTCTGACATGTACACTAATCGCACAATGACAATTAAGGGTTGGAATTATCCGGGAAATCGCACGTTGATGAGAATTTAAAAATTTAGCGACGTATTAATCAAGAAGATGAGAAAAATAGAGGGTACCATATTGATCTCAATCTCTGCCATCCATCTTTATGACGTTGGGTCGATATTCCAAGGAAAGAATGCACTCATTATACACTGCACAACAATGAATTGATTAATAGAATAAAGATCAAATAAAGAATTCATGGATGTGAAACATAGATGGGTCGTCATGGCTTGCGATTTATTGAATTAAAAATAACGTTATAACATCTTAATAAAGAATGAAGTAAAATGTTGCAAATTCTATAATGTATTTCTAGTGTTCTATACTTTTGCATGTTTATTTCATATGCATTCAAGATGGTATTTCCCAATTAATTCCAGGGCAAACAAATCTTTGAACCTTCGAAAATGAAGTTCTATCCAGGCAATCTATGCCTCTTATTTCATATACACTGTATGCATTGAACATGAAAATTGAAGCATAAAATATGGCGCAGACACTTTGATAAGAAAACAGAAGTATAACAAAGTTATTGTATATGAATATTTCTTCTGGTATCGCATGTACTGTACACAGTGCATATATTTGGTAAGTCACAAAAAGGACTTAATTTGCATTTTTCAGTTGGATATTTCCACCATCTTTGTTCTGTGCTAAATTTTGTGAAAAAGTCTTGGCATTAAAAAATCAAACGTTTATATTTAAGCTTTTACAAAATTGCTGAAAGCACAGAAAAGGTTAAAAATGAGAGGAAACTCTATCCCGCCATTAGTCCTAACAAAATCGCGGGTGACTGCACTCAGCAATATAATTACATCAATATAATTCTCCACCCTGCAAATGTCAACTGAAGTTCATATCACTAAGTAATATTAAGAATAGAAACTCCCCAAGGTTATTAATATCACATTACCAATACCTCGGATACCCCTCTAATGACCAAGTTTTCCCAAGAGAGATAACTCTTCATTAAAAACTATGAGAACGGGTTTTATTTTCTATCATTTTTCAAAATTCTTACCAGTATACAGCAAATACATTTAAAGAGATAATTGAATTGATTGCTGGGGAGTTTTACAATACATTCCATGGAAATTTTTGTCGGTAACATTTTCATATACATGTATAACACTAGTACATGTAAAACCAGAAGTCTCTGATGAGACTGTAGCTCTACTGGTCTGTTTGTATAACAAAAGAAAAGTAGCACTTGGATTTGAAACATTGCAACATGCAACAATAAATAGAATTATGTATCTTAATGTAGTCTACTTTTGTGACAAGTTATATTGAAATCAAATGAAAACTAGGAGTAGTAGCGTTTTGAAAGTATTTCATGGAAATTTCTATTTCTAGTAACCATGACAACACCATTCACCCAAATAAAAAAAAACAGAAATACATATTATGTATTGTAGTGTATTCTAACTGTGTGCCAAATTAGATTGAAATCAGACCAAAATTGTAGGAGGAGTAACATTTTAAAGGAATTTCACAGAAATTTCTATTTTATGTAACCATGGCAACACTGTTCATCGAATTCAAAAACCAATGCAATAAATTATGTATCTTAGTATAGTCTTCTTGTATGCCTAATTATATTAGAAGCAGACTAAAACTGTAGCAGGAGTAGCGTTTTAAAGGAATTTCACAGAAATTTCTATTTTTAGTAACCATGGCAACACCGTCCATCGAAATCAAAAACCGATGCACTAAATTATGTATCTTAGTGTAGTCTACTTGTGTGCCAAGTTATATTGAAATCGGACCAAAACTGTAGGAGGAGTAGCGTTTTAAAGGAATTTCACAGAAATTTCTATTTTTAGTAACCATGGCAACACCGTCCATCGAAATCAAAAACCGATGCACTAAATTATGTATCTTAGTGTAGTCTACTTGTGTGCCAAGTTATATTGAAATCGGACCAAAACTGTAGGAGGAGGAGCGTTTTAAAGGAATTTCACAGAAATTTCTATTTTTAGTAACCATGGCAACACCGTCCATCGAAATCAAAAACCGATGCACTAAATTATGTATCTTAGTGTAGTCTACTTGTGTGCCAAGTTATATTGAAATCGGACCAAAACTGTAGGAGGAGTAGCGTTTTAAAGGAATTTCACAGAAATTTCTATTTTTAGTAACCATGGCAACACCGTCCATCGAAATCAAAAACCGATGCACTAAATTATGTATCTTAGTGTAGTCTACTTGTGTGCCATCAAAAAACGATGCACTAAATTATGTATCTTAGTGTAGTCTACTTGTGTGCCAAGTTATATTGAAATCGGACCAAAACTGTAGGAGGAGTAGCGTTTTAAAGGAATTTCACAGAAATTTCTATTTTTAGTAACCATGGCAACACCGTCCATCGAAATCAAAAACCGATGCACTAAATTATGTATCTTAGTGTAGTCTACTTGTGTGCCAAGTTATATTGAAATCGGACCAAAACTGTAGGAGGAGTAGCATTTTGAAAAATTGTTTACAGACAGACGGACAGACAGACAGACAGACAGACAGACAGACAGACAGACGGACGGACGACGGACACCTTACTATCGCATAAGCTCTTCTGGTCTCTGACCAGTAGAGCTAAAAAAAATCATTTGCCATCATTGGATGCAATACGTTGGTAAAATTCAAACTGATAATATGTGGAACAAGAAGGACAGATTAAACATTTTAAATTGCACAAAATAAAACTCAAAATACAGATTTAATATAAAGGTTAGAACTACTCTAATAATAAAAAAATATGATTGTACACAGATTTGTTATTGCAATCAGTTGGGTTTAAAAAAATCTTAACAATGTAAAGAATAGTCACAAATTTACACTATTAAAGGCTAAATGTTTCTTTTTTACCCTTTGTCCTTCCATCAAACAAAAGCATATACATGTATACGTAACAGAAAGCAATAAAATTTTGTAAATATTGAATACGTCTGGAATGCATCTACTCATTTTGATTTCCCTAGGAAAAAAAATTAAAAATAATACAGACATGTAAACAAAAAAAAGAGGCCCATGAGTCACAAAGCTCACCTGAAAAAAAAACTTTCCCCTTCCTGAAATTACGTAGATAAATGATACTCCTACTGTAGCCATAAAAGAAAAGTCCATGATGTCCACAGTATATTGAATTTTGATGTTAAATTTACAAACTTCAGCTTTGTTATCTATGGAAAAGTCCCTTGTTAGCCCCTTGTTATGGTCAAACATGACCCCAGGAGCCATGAAGTATACAAACTCGAAACTACACTATATGGGAAATGCCTGCATATTAATCTGATTTGAAAAGAAGATTCTTTAAAAAAAAAATTTCAATATTCTCTTGTAAAAGTTACAACAATCACTCCAGAAAGAAATCTCACATAATTTTTGTCTTGTTTTAGCCCAGTGATTTTTAAGAATTTTTTTTTTTTAAATGACCCAATCCTATTTCTTAATTCCTTCCCCTAAAAAAAATATGCATCTTTACTAGAACATAGTTGACTCCTTTTATCTAAATGGATGCTTTTTTGACAAGAATTCAAGGTAGTTCTAGAAAAGAAGTTTGATTATGTGAACAAATGGCAGACGAATGGACAACAGACACTCTTTTATCAGAAGCACTGACCCAAGCCTTATGCTCAGGTGAGCTAAATAAACTTGAGCACTTAAAAGATAATAATCTCAGTGATTACAAAACTGTAAAAACTACTTGGAAGAAAATAATTTTCTATGCTTATACTGGAAATAAAAAAATCACAATTGTTTTCTTCCCAAACACTATGCATATAAAGCACAAAAGTAAAAAAATAGTATCCACTCTGAATTTTATGAAAGCTATATCATTTGAGATGTTCCATGCAAATCCCTCCTATTTATATCCTTCGACTGTATTTTAATTCATAATAGGAAAAATGCAACATCTTTTTTGTGCAACTGAAACCATGCACAGCAACATCTGCTGCAATCTGGCTGACTACACACATCATTCAAAATCACTGAATTCACTTGTACACGTATTTTCAAAAATCTGATAATTCCTATTAAAGAAGACGATTCTCATCTAATATTTAGAGCATATGGTCATTTTCTAATTTTACTGAATTTTTAAAATAGAATAACATGAGGGGCATAGAAAAGCTCAATTGAAATAGGCCATATATCTTTTTAAATTTTTACTAAGCTACACGCATGTAGTTATATGGACTAAATATCAAGCAAAATCCAGTGATAATTCATATTAATTACATGTACATATTAAAAAAAAAAACCAAAGTCCTAAAAAGTCACTGATTAATATCCCTACTATCTACATTACATGACTTAATAAAACCCTCTAGAATACACCTTTTTCTAGAAGAAATATACAAAATATAAGCTAATATTTATCAAACAAATTATTCACAACATATACATCAAAATGAAAAAAAAATATTGGTGGGGTTTGCTATACTTGTTTATATATGTTTGTATATTTATATATGACAACTGTAAACACGTTGAGTGCTAATTTGATTAAATTTGATTAAATTATAACTTACAGATGAGGAAGATTTGAAATACTCTAAAATAAGTACACACCTAATCTTTCATTCTTAGTTGAGGTATTGCAATGAATTTAAAATTTGTAACATACAACTTATTTTTGAAATAGTGCAGATCCATCCTGACCTTTCATGTTGTACAATTCTGCATTTACCTCCATCCAGTAAATAAAAAATTTACCACATGATACACTGACTTAATATCATACTGAAAATAAAACCTCACTTCCTTGCTAGATTTTTGGTCAAACTACAAAAACAAGACATATCAAGTAAAGAGAAAACAATTTCAAAAAATCACAACATAAACTACTTTTCTGTGGAATAGCAAACATTTATCTTTTTGTAAAGTACATATTTGTTATTGCTTTTTTTTTCTAATCTCCTGAAGAAGTGGTTTTAAATTTTCAAATTAATGCTAGTACTAAAAAATATAAACATATATACACACAACATTACTGAAAACTCCACAGAAACAAACAAACAAACAAACAAACAAACAGGGAATCACTGGTTACAATACACACCATATTGAGCTGTGAAATATTCTAGTGTCTGACAAGACAATAGATATATAAGGTGTTTTGCTACTTTTTCTCAGTGCTCTGGCCAACTGAGTCTCTCAGAGTTTTTGGCAATGTACATTGTTTCATCACATTCTTCCTCACTAAAACAGAGGGACATTCTCTTTCTGAAGTGTACATTTTATCCACCATGAAACTTTTCATCTCTCCAGTGTGGTGTCGTCGAAAATGGCAAGAAAGGTGTTGGCAGCCTCTCGGACTTTTTCCTCCTCGTGGGAGGAGAGCTGTCGGGCTATATCAGGAATACCGGAGGTCATAATCTCATCTCTCAAGGACTCTGGAGAAAAAAGGAAAATAAAGAAAGATTTATAAAGAATCATTAACACAATTATAGATGAATAATAATGTTACACTCAAATAGTCAGTAAATTACACAAGAAAATGTTTCAGGAAAAATTACTCAACGTTCCAAGTTAACTAATGTTGAGACTATAATTTGACATAAGGACATAAACTTATTGTTTCAGTTGTTTTTCATCTCTGTGCTTAATTTTTAAGGAAAACAAAGGAAGATAGGACAAAAGTTACATATCCTCATAACAAGTTTGGTTTTGATGTTCCATGTGAGTTTATATAATGTACATGCATAATAATACTAAAAAAAAGTTTGACCATAATTCATCTCGGTCAAGAGATTTTCAAATTACCGTAAGGCATTAAAAAAAAATAAATTAACAAATACCTGTCTTAGTGGGTACCTTGTTCAATAACAACAAAAGGGGAATAGACCACAGGTACCTGAATTTTTATCAGTAACTGGCAAATGAAGCCCTAGAATGAAAAATCCTACCCCCTTTCTATATAAATACACAAAAATATTTATATAAGGGGATAGGATTTTTCTCTCGAGCTTTATTTGCTACCTATCGATAAAAATTCAGATACCTGTGAATAGACTCAGCAAAGAAAATAATGTGGTACAAAGTACTCAAACAAAAATGACTTGCTTTAAACATGCTAGAATTGCAAGACAACATTGACTTGAATTACGTGGCATGTCTGTGGCTCGTCCAGCACAGGCCAATAGTTTGCAGGAAAGGGTGTTTGGAGAAGATTGAGACACTGCAAGAAATGCCACAAAAATAGACAAACAAATACCTCAAACAAAATGTAAGTTGCTTTCAACTGGTGATCACCTCAATCCAAATATTTCACACACATCAAAAAAATATACAAGTACTTGTGTGAAAGTGTCTTTGTAAATTTCTTCCTCTTTTCACTTGAATACATGTTGTACTGTAAAATCACAAATTTTCGGAGGGCGTTAATTTTTGTTGTTTATGAAGAGCCCCACGAATTCATGTTCTCCACGAAATGTAAAATTTCAAACATACAACAACTCAACACTTCTTCATCCATGAAATCAAATTCCCATGAATTAACATTTTTTCCTCAAACAACAAAACTTTGGCCCTTGAATGTGATTTTACAGTATTCAATTGTAATGATACACATTAAAGAATGAAGTCTCTAAATGTTTAGTGCACAAATGCATACAGAGCACACACTAAATGATGGAGGAGGGGAGTACACAAAAGTTACTTCTTCATGTAAATTTAAAATAAGTTAAAAAACTGAAGTTTAGAAAATAATTTTTGCACTTTGATTGGGGTATCTGTAACGGATTTGGTGAAACACTAAACATTTCCCAATAAATATTTATATTTTAATGAAAAATTCAATAAAAAAGACTGTGCACTATGCACATGACTTTGCTGCAGTAAATGAATAGATAAAAAAAAATATTAAAAAATACTTGAACAGTGGTGTGCCATCTATAAAGACAAAATTTTACAAATGCAGAGTTGTCCCTCTTCAGTTGTACCTACCTGCATTGCAAAGAGTTTTGGTTAGCGTAAGTGTGTTGCATAATATTTCTGGCAGTGTTGATTTATTGCCAAGAAGAGATGATATGGTTTCCGTCAATTCCGACTGTTTAAGTGGAAGTGCGGCTTCATCTGAAAAATATCACATTTCTTAATGATCACACACATCAAGCTGCAATCTGCATCATTAATGCACAATTTGAAGCAGATCAATACTTAAGATTTCAGACACTTTTTACTCTAACAAACTTGATATCTCATATCATCTCATTAATTCCCAGGAAGAAATTCTCATTATTTTTAGTGTGTTAAATGATTCATGCACATTATTTGAATTTTTAATCTGCACAAAATATAGAATAACTTCCAGGACTTAATTTTGTTTTTATCAATACAGCTCAATGACTGGTCCAACTATCCACCAATTTCTAAGGTAAATCATAACACAAACCTAATACTGTGGAACAAATTAAGGTCAAGGCCACGAGAGCCTCATTCTGCATGACCAGGTGTTCAGAAGATACCATGGCAACCAGTGGAGGGATACCTTGACATTTGATCACATTTCTCATCAGCTCCACTGATCGACCATTCTTAACCAGGGAGGCTAGCAATCTTGTACCTTCGCCTGTTTAAAAGATTACATTCATAATAGTAGTCATCAAATAAAAGCTAGAAATATGTCCATTGAACATGAATGCCCCACCCAGGGTTCATTATTAATGCAACACAAAAAATTGTACTAGTGTATGAAGTTTGATGAAAATATCTTGAATAGTTTCTTTGAAACTGAGTTTAATTTTATACACAATAAATAGTAAAGTCAAGGGTCATTGGGAAGGTCAAGGTAAAATAAAAAAATGGACACAGTTGATAAATTTTCACAAAATTAATGTATCAGTACATAAGCTTGCATAATATCTAGAATAGTTTCTTTGAAACTGCCCTAAACACAAATTTAAGAAAAGTGAGGTCAAGGTCAAAGGAAAGGTCAATGTTAAGAATTTTTGATGAAGACTAATAGCTTTCCCCAATATGTAAGTTTGATAAAAATTTCTTGATTTGTTTATTTCAAAAATTAGCTAAACACAAATTTGAGAAAAGTGAGGTCAAGGTAAAAGGAAAGGACAAGGGTAAAAAATACTGACCCAATTGAATTGCTCTCGTCAATATGTATAAGCATATGAAGTTTGATGAAAATATCTCGTTTCTTTGAAATTTAACTAAACACAAATTTGAAGTCAAGGTCAAAGGAAAGGTCAAGGTAAAAATTGTTGATGCAGTTGAATTGCTCTCACCAATATGTATCAGCATATTAAGTATTATTAAAATATCTTGAATAGTTTCTTTGAAACTGAGCTTAATACAAAGTTAAGAAAACTGAGGTCAAGTTCAAAAATATTGACGCAGTTGAACAACTCTCATCAGTATGTATAAGCATATAAGATTTGATAAAAATATCTTAAATCTCTTTGAAACTGAAATAATCACTAATTAAGAAAAGTGAGGTCAAGGTCAAAGGAAAGGTCAAGGTCCAAAAATGGTCATGCAGTTGAATAGCTCTCTTTAATATGTATCAGCATATGAAGTTTGATAAAAATATCTTAATAGTTTCTTTGAAACTTAGCTAAACACAAATTTAAGAAGAGTGAAGTCAAGGTCAAAGGAAAGGTCAAGGTAAAAAATTTTGATAAGTTGAATAGGTCTCACCAGTATGTATCAGTATATAAGGTTTAATAAAAATATCTTGAATAATTTCTTTGAAATGAGCAAAACACTAATTTAAGAAAAGTGATTCAAAGTTGAAGGAAAGGTCAAGGTCAAAAAATGTTGATGCATTTGAATAGCTATCATTGATATGTATCAGCATATGAAGTTTGATAAAAATATCTTGAATAGTTTATTTGAATCTGAGCTAAATGCATTGTGTGATGGAAGGACAGACGGATGAAGAATGGAAGATGGACTTGACAAACACTACTGTATATGTCCAGACCATATTTATGGCATGGCATAAAAATGCATGTTTCAATTTCTGTTACTGGATGTGAAGGGAAAACAATAAATTTTCACTACTGTTCTGTAAAAGAGAGTGAAAAATTTGAAACAAAACAGCAAATCTGACAAACAGTTTAATTACTTTATTTCTTTATTAATTCTAACATTAACAAGAATGCTTTCAGAATTTGTTCAATTTGTCATACCTAAAAAGCTTTATTAACTGGCTCCTTACCCTGAACCCCAGCATGTTCATCCACCTCACACCAGCCCACAAGACGGTCCATAAATGCCCGGTCTGTTCCTAGCTGTAGAGCTGCTGTCTCTGAAAAAAAAACAAAACATGTTGGTATTACTGGAATGAATTTATTTTCAGTCATTATAGCACATAAATTCTTTACTAAATCTTGAGATGTCAAGGACCTTGACCTCCAACGGACAAATAAAAATAAATCTTTGGTGTAAAAAATGTGTTTCTTCTCACTGACAGATAAAAGACTCAGAATTCTGTGAACAACAGATAAATATGCACTGAAAGAAAGAAAATATTCACATAACATTATATGCATCTTTTATTGACCCACTGAATATAACGTTACAAAGGATCTGCTATCAGGGAGAGTGAAAAGTTCCCTTAAATAATCTATTATCTTCATTTTGAAGAATCCTAACCTATACACCACTAGATAGAGTTTGCAGTGCATGTCTTCAGATCCGGTGGATAATATTTTATAGTTACTGATTATTAGAAGACTGTGGAAGTCCTGAGTTTATAGGATATAGCTACGTGTTAGATGTACAGAAGTTGTTGGATGTCTTACATCATACCCCAATCAGCTGACAGCAAGTAGTCAGACATGGCTCTTATCATTACATCAGATATCAACCTTGCTGCAGAGCTGATAAAAAGGGAGGTAAAAAAGGCATGTGTTGGAATGCAGGGGTTATCTCAAGAGTTGATGAATCATGACAAATCTATTTCTTTCCTATCCTTTACTTAAATTTAACATTTTATCAACATTCAAGGAAGTGGAAAAATCTATGATTCTGGAACTGATTTTTATAGATAACAAAAAATAGAAGAAATGATTGAATTTTTTACATGACCTATTTTGAACTTAGGCTTTTATACCGGTAATTAATTTCCACTAAATTCAATTGAAATATATGACTTCAACATTCCCCAAGATTCTAATTTTGATCACAATATATACATATATTTAAAAATACTTCTGATATATAAAAACATTAAACTTTTATGGTGAATTCCTTCCACTGATATTGATTAATGAAAGTAATTAGGTAGACTTTGTCTTGATCAATTCATCCCGTTACTCTGACCTAGAACACCTGAACACAGGAAGTTTATGTGGGTGGTGTGCAGTGAAGAAACACCATCTTTGATTCACATAACTCATCTAATCTCCTCCCATGACCAGGTGAAATGCGGGCATTGCTTTATCAGAAAATTAACTTGGCTCATTACCCCCTAGCTTTCTTTGTGATATTTCCTCGACAATTATACATTCATTTATCGCCAACAGAGAATAATATAGGGGGCTTATATTTGTCTGTACTTCCATTGGAACTGCTGCAAAAAGGCCAAGAAAATGCATCTTTGTTTTTTAAAAAAATATATATAAACCTACTTATTCTTCATTTCTAAATGGTACAATATTCAGTCAGCAAAGAAGAGAAAATTGAAAATTTATGCATGGAAATACACAGTATATATAAATGACATATTTAAATTCACTTTCTGTAGATGTATATCTTATTTAGACAGAAATACATGAACAATACATGTATCTTGTAAGAGTACAGAAAACCCAGACAGCAATGATAAACAAAGATTTTTTTATGTGTGGCCTAACTCTGAGATCATCAAATACCTCAATGTAATAGGCATGCGAGTCTGTTTGTTATCACCAGCAGTAAGAGTGATAGATTCTCCCCCTATCACAACAAAACATAATGGCTGACACTCATACATCAAGAAGATTTCAATCTTGGCAAAAAAAGTAACCAACCCTGGAAGTTTTAATAGACTTGCATGAAAATAACATTAATTTCTCTCTCGATTTTGGATTCTTTGGTAGTGCAGATAAAATTGTGTTGTCTGCACCAATACTTACAAGTATTGGCTAACTCCTTGACATGTATAACTCTAAATATTTATTTATAATAAATCTCAAACAGATACCATGTTTTTAGGATTATATTTCTTTTTGGTAAAAGCCCAAGAATGCTTTCAATATTGAATCAAGTACCCCTATGCATATCCCACCCACCTTCCCCAAAATTGGTTATCATGTGATTTTCTACTGTAACCCCATCATATTGAGTATACAACATGAGCAAATCTGAATGCACTATACCCAGAAAGTTTTATCTTCATTAATTTTTGATCACCATTACTGACCACCTGACCAAAATAACTCATTTGCCTTGCAATAGCACTCTCCCATCCCAAAGTTATCATATATAATTAATGAGAAAAAGGGCAGGAATTTATTTCTTTTGGACAAGTCAGCTTTTGCTTGTGAATATAATAAACATTATACACTGCCACACACACCATATGTTGTCTAGAGCATTGACCAATCAGGATAGAATCTCACCTTGACCATCCACTAACATTCTGAGAACACCCAGGAGTTTGAACACAACAGCCATTGTCTCCGATGACATCAGAAGTAAGACCGTCTCAAGGACACCCGCCATTAACAAGGCAGGCTTATTTTTGGCTGTAAACATAAAAACAGAACATAGACTACATCTGGATAAGTTCCATAGCCAATTTCAAAGAGCACATACTATACTGCAAAGTGGCGATAATAAATTTGCATCATAAAACCCCCCACCCCCTTATCATTGAAAAATTGTTCATATCATTCATGATATGTGTATCTGTTGTTTCTTGACAATTCTTTCAAGCACAAACATGGAAATTTTTTAGTTAACCAGAAAGTTTTGATTGATTGTACCATGCCAATTTTTATGACAATATTATAAGAATGTAGGTCAAGAGAATTTCATTACTATCCGTACGTTGTCTTGTGAGACACTACAGTACAAAACACAAAATGATATACTGACTACAAGTACAATAATAACAGGAAGTACATAGTTATGCTGTATTTTCTACAGACAGATTCCTGCTAGTAATTAAGACTAAGTATCAATAACAAATTCATGACATTTCTGGAATCCCTTCCTGGTACTTGTGTGTTGAATAACCAGTTTGTCTTGTCACACAGTGTATAACAATTGCTGCCTTGTGTCAGAGAAAATAATAACTATATATGTAACAGGTTGTTGTGTACTTCCTGCCAATTGTATGTTGAACAATACATACACTTAACACCAAGTATTGTACGTATATACGAGGGGTTATCAAAAAGTTCGTGGACTGATGCGATAAAATTAATACTATGTAGTCTGTGCTTACAAAATTTATCAAAAACATAAATCAACAAAAGTTTAAGAAATGTTGAAAATTTTAACTTGATACGTTGATAATTTGCCAAATTATTCTAAAATAAAAAAGACATTATATGATCACCCGGCGCAGTCGCCGTTTAGTTTCATGACGTCCGACAACGTCATTGTTTCTCAATGTCCACTCCGTCTACCTTATACACTTATCTTGATGTGATTACCTAGAATTAAGTAAGGACTTAAGTCCATCTTGTTTATGTGACTTTACAATGTCATGAACAGCTGCTTTCAATGCATATAATATTGTAAATGTATCTATACATAAGGAAAGATCCTCACTTGATTATACCAGAATGCTTAGCTTGATGGATTTCAATTTCTACCACACATGATCAACGTTACTTTTCGACGTGACTGATTTTTGACACCCTCACTACAAATTGACTTTAACTGTGCATCTTTCATCTCTCTGAATCTTTTTGGCTGGTTAAAACGAGTACTCTGGATGTGTTTTATTTTTCTGTAGCCCGTTTAAACATTCCCTAGGTCTATACCAGTTTTCCCAGGTGCGAAACTTTAAAGAATGTTGGAAACAGAAACCCCTCCCCTTTTTGACGTCATTTTTGAGCCCTTAATTGTTTGTACACTCCATATAAATTTACGATAAAATTTCATAGAATTTACAGAATGGGGTAAAAATTGCAAATTTTACGGAAGAATTGTGTTGTATCACATGCCTGGATTAACCGGATTTTTGACAACAAATGCTCATATCAAAAGAATTTTTCTCAGTTACACTCAGGTAGAAAAAACGTCATATTTGAGGTTGCGCCGCTTGGACATACCATTGCTTACAAAAACAATAACAATTTATTAAAAAATAAAACTTATGATTTATGGTTTATTCTAACGATAGAAAAGATGATGCTAACTAAATGTATTAACATTCATTGATGTACCTAAAGCGGTTTTAATTTTATGGCGCTAGTCCACGAACTTTTTGATAACCCCTCGTATATATATATATATATATATTCTTTGTATTGGCATGTTGTGTAGATTTATATATATATATATATATATATATATATATATATATATATATATATATATATATATATATATATATATATATATATATATATATATATTCCTTGTATTGTCATGTTGTGTAGATTTACATAAAAAACTATTTTAGCCATTGGGGACAAAACAACTTGTGTGTATGACCTCATTAAAAGATGTTCCTGATGACAAAACATTATCATTATGTTAATTTGCTATCTGAAAGATACCTACTGTAATTTTAAACCTGCTTTCTTGAAGACACTTTCAAAAAATTCAATCTTACTACAGTGAAACATGTCTAAACACATGTACTGGGAGACAAATTTTGTGTCAGAATAGGGGTGTCAGAGTGTACAGTGTAAAAAACATGTAAATAAGTAGAAGTGGGAATGAAAATGAAATGAACATGGAATTCACAGAGAAACAGATTGCACAGGTGTCGGAGTAGACGGTTTTCACTGTAATTAAAAAAAAATGTGTAGATAAAGGTTAAACACCTGATTTCTATTTATGGAAAATGTGCTCAACCTACAGTAGCCTCATTCTGCTATAATGATTACATTTTAGGTTTACCTTACAAATCCTGCCAACAATGTATTGCATCTAACTGGTTAATCTCCAGCAACCAGATTTTTATTACACTGTATATCATTTCATATGAAGGAAAAACAGGTTGCGGGTGCTTAACTGGAGGAACCAGCATCTGGATTTGTGACAGGGATTTACCTGGAATAGCTAGGTTCTGATGTATATATCCAGTATATCTGTATTTTTGACATTTATCTGAATAGTTAGATTTCTGATGTTAAGCAGGAATAGCTGGGTTATATGTAACAAAGGTTTACAAAGATGAGGAACTGTTATATGAATGTCTATATTTCTGGCATTTACATGGAAAATCTGTTTATTTAATGTTTGGCCAGAAAACCTTAGCTTTCTGTGTTAACCTTTAATGGTTAAGTTTTTATTTTGATTGGTTTGAATAGTGAATAATCGAGGAATTAAAGTATCTGACAGGGTAAAGATCAGACAAGGAGATAGCTGGGAAAGCAAAGTTTCTGAGACAATGATATAACTGGAATAGCTAGGTTTCTAAGTTAATGATATACATGTACCTGGAATAGCTAGGTTTCTATATAATGATATACCTGTAATTGCTAGGTTTATGAGACAATGTTTTACCTGGAATAGCTAGGTTTCTAAGATAACGATATACCTGGAATAGCTAGGTTTATGAGACAATGTTATACCTGGAATAGCTAGGTTTCTGAGAGCACTAAGGATGGCATGATGTAATGTCATGTCTGCCTCATGGTCTCTGTGAGTTTTCAATAATTCTAACAGTTGTTCTACAATCCCTTCCTCAACCAGTCTTTGACAATGGTTATCTGTAAACATAAGCAAAATGAAAAGCAAATTTCCCTTTCATGCAACAAGACAAAATTACTTGACAAAGTCTCTTGGTATGCAGAGTATATACACCTAAAGATTCCAATAAAAAATCACAAGCCCATATGATCATCTATATTTTTTGTCCCAAGCTTTTGTTAAAACCCACGGACATTAATTTGGGACTGTCCATCTGTCTGTCATTCTATCTGTGTGTAACAATTTTGTTTTTGAATATCTCAAAAGTCCTACAGCTTTTGCAATGAAATTTTTAAATTTATATCATAATTCTGGATGACCTAAAGAAGACCCCTATTGATTTTACAGTAAAAAGGTCAGAGGTCAGCTATTCACCCATTCCACAATTGGTTTTCAGATGATAATTTTAGTTCTTTTTGAGGTTTTGCAATGAAATTTTATATTGTTACTCCCTTTGACTTAAAAAAAGACTACTATTAATTTTGAGTTCAAAAGATCAAAGGTCAGAAATTAATATATTTCATAATACTGGTGTCCAGATGATAATTGTAGTTCTCTTCGAGCCTCATTATGAGCTAAAAATGTCAAAAGCCAAGGTCAGAAATTCATCATTGCATCACATAGTTTTCAGATGATAATTCTAGTTCTCGTTGAGCTTTTGCTAAGAAACTTAAGATAATGAATCTACCTAACCGAAGAAAGACCCCTATTGATTTTTAGGCCAAAAGGTGAAAAATCAAAGTCAATGATCTTTCTTTTCTTTCTACATCCAAATTTTAGGTCTTTTATCCTGAAGTGGGGAAACACACAATTTTTTAAAAATGGCCTTATATAAATGTGTGTTAACTGACCATTCCTGGCAAAATTGCCTATGGCCAGGACAGCAGCCATTTGTAACCGGCTATCTTCATCCTCTAGCCACTTGACAGACTCCACAAACACTGGACCCTCTCCATTGGCAAACATGGCTTCCGCTCCTTTGTCTGTATAAAATATATTCAAAATAAATCGAGATAGAGGCAGATTTCTGATTTGAACAGCATATCATCAGCATATCACATACGTAAAAAAGTTCAACATAACAGTTCTCCTTTGTTATAATTGAACTTCTTGTATTCTGAGAGTCCCTACCTCCTGTTAACAGAAGAATCAGTAGGTCGGAGGCCATCTTGATGAGCTGTTGACTCTCGGGGTCCAGTTTGCCCTGATTGACTTGTATAATCTGAATAAGGTTGTTACTCAAGCTCGTCTCTGCCAGGAGATCCTTCACTTCATCTGACAATAAACAGAAAATTACCTTACAGTGTCCTAAGATTTAGCTGATGAAAATCAACAGAAAATTATTTTTATTTGATGTAAATATCTTCATTTGAAAACAATTAAATGGGAAAATATTTCAAAATTTCCAAAAACATGAGTATCTTTTTATTTACAAAGAAAAATCCAATAACTATTTGCTTTGGTATGGATCAGAAGTTTTATAATTAACAAACTCAGACAGTAGAAACATAAAACATATATTCAAATATGTATTAAATATCTCTCCCTAGTCAGCTCACATCAATTAAATGACATTCAAACTTGTCATCAAGTGCTCTTATTTAGAATCATAAATAAGCACAAATAATCTTTCGCTCTCATCCATGCCACATAAAAGATTACATAACAAGTTATAAATAAATTGCTTTGGCTTTTTGATGACCATTCATCTCCAATGCAAAAATTGCTCATAGCAATTAAAACAGATTCGAGCACGTCAATAAGTGCTTTATTTAGATTTAGAAATATTCAGAATAATCTTTTGCTCTCATTTCACTTCACAGAGAGGATTATGTCACAAGTTATTTATGTACAGGAGCTGTATCGGGATGACCATTCTCTCTGATGCAAAAATTGATCAAGCAGAGATGGAAATGAAATGCAAACACTGAGGTAATAGGAATATGCAGAAATAAAAGACATATTTTCTATGCTGTGATTGAGCAAGAGTTCTACACTGTCTAGACACTCTGCTAGTTGGAAATGAGGTCTCGTTTATTTATCAATCTAATGCTGTCAGATATTCTGATATTGTATAGAATACTAACCCACTATAATAAATTAATAAGGAAAGTCTAACTGGCTAAACACCCACCTCATACCTATAGGTTATTCAGGATGTCTAACACTGTCTACATCCCAATCCCATTCATACAAACTGATCATAAAGTCTAAGAATTTCTAGAACCCCGCTCTTACAGGCTATTCAGGGAATCTAACACTGTCTAGGCATCTTATCTACTCTTACAGACTGATCAGGAAATCTAATACTGTCTAGAACCCCACTCATAAAGATTATTCAGGAGGTCTAACACTGTCTAGAATCAGTCTGATAGATTGATCAGGAGGTCCAGCACTGTCTAGAACCCACTATGACAAAGAGATCAGGAAGTCTAACATTGTCTAGAACCCACTCTTACAGAAAGATCAGGAAGTCAAACACTGTCTAGAAAACACTCTTACAGACAGATCAGGAAGTCAGGTAACTGTCAAGAAACACTCACACAGACTGATCAGGAAGCCTAACACTGTCTTGACACCTTCCCCACACTTATAGCTCAATAAAGAAGTCTTACATTGTTTAGACACTTACCCAACCTATTGAGGAAGAAATCTAACACACTGTCCAGACACCTACCCCACTCTAACAGATTGAAAAAGAAGTCTAACAATGTCTAGACACTTACCCAACACAGACATATTGATGAAGAAGTTAACAATGTCTAGACACCTACCAAACTCAGACACATTGATGAAAAAGCCTAACAATGTCTAGACACCTTCCAAACTCAGACACAATGAGGAAGAAGTCTAACAATGTCTAGATACCTTCCAAACTCAGACACATTGATGAAGAAGTCTAACACTGTCTAAACACCTTCCAAACTCAGACACATTGATGAAGAAGTCTAACACTGTCTAGACACCTACCAAACTCAGACACATTGATGAAGAAGTCTAACAATGTCTAGACACCTACCAAACTCACATTGATGAAGAAGTCTAACACTGTCTAGACACCTACCAAACTCAGACACATTGATGAAGAAGTCTAACAATGTCTAGACACATACCCCATTCTGACAGCTTGATAAGGAAGTCTAACAATGTCTAGACACCTTCCAAACTCACATTGATGAAGAAGTCTAACAATGTCTAGACACCTACCCCATTCTGACAGATTAATGAAGAAGTCTAACACTGTCTAGACACCTACCAAACTCAGACACATTGATGAAGAAGTCTAACACTGTCTAGACACCTACTTAACTCATACACATTGATGGAGAAGTCTAACACTGTCTAGACACCTACCAAACTCAGATACATTGATGAAGAAGTCTAACAATGTCTAGACACCTACCCCATTCTGACAGATTAATGAAGAAGTCTAACACTGTCTAGACACCTACCAAACTCAGATACATTGATGAAGAAGTCTAACAATGTCTAGACACCTACCAAACTCAGACACATTGATGAAGAAGTTAACAATGTCTAGACACCTATCAAACTCAGACACATTGATGAAGAAGTCTAACACTCTCTAGACACCTACCAAACTCAGACACATTGATGAAGAAGTCTAACACTGTCTAGACACCTACCAAACTCAGACACATTGATGAAGAAGTCTTACACTGTCTAGACACCTACCCCATTCTGACAGATTGATGAGGAGATCTAGGACTGTCTCCTGGTACACCTCTCCAGCATGTGTGTCTAGCAGTCCCACTATGGTTGACAGCAAGGAGGACTCCGAGAATTTCTGACGACAAATCTCTGAAATCAGATAAAACAGAATCATACATATTTATTAAAATAACACCAATATTATGTACATACAAATTGTTACAATGAAGATTGTAGTAAGTTGCTTTGATTTGATTTACTCTGAGTTACAGATGCATCAGATGAATGTAAAGTGAAAGACCACTCAATGTCTAACAATGATGAAGGCATGTGTTTTTTTTTTCCAATTCTAGAAAACCATTACCGGGTATTAAAAAATAAGCAATTTTGACAATAATTTGTGATTAAAACAAGAGGCACAAGGGCCTTAACGGTCACCTGAGTATAAACAACACTAAAGGATCAACAAAATTAACTGATAGACGAAGCAATGTTGCCCAAGAATTTCAAACACAGGTAATCAAAGATTACGAAGCTCACCTCGACAAATGTTATCTATAAGTAAGGCAAATCTCACATCATATTTTTTTCTAGTTAGTGTACATCCCAAGATCAATATCCATGCAAGTTTGGTTTAAGTAGGACTTATAGTTACTTGGAAAAAGACCTGCTCCAAAAACATTAACCTGGTCACTCATCTGGAAAATCTAGGTCAGATCCAGCATCCAAAGCAAGTGTGGTAGTGTCCATCCCTAGATGCATCATCCATGCAAGTTTGGTCCAGGTAGGGCTTATAGTTACTTGGGAGTGGACTTGCTCCTAAAACTTTAACCGGGACGCCAACGTCGGGGGTATAGCATGAGCTCATCTTGACTTCGTCGAAGTGAGCTAAAAATCTGGTAAAAATACCCTTGCTATTGTAATGTGTTAGACCCGATTGATCTCCTTTGGATCATACTTGGTTTTCCCAAGTCTTACAGGGATGATAATGAATGCAAAATATACAAATACAAAGAACACTTGCCTACTGTGTAAGGTATTCAATATATACAGATATTTTTTTGTCACTTGCCTAGTGCTACAATTCAGTACATACAGACTTGGGCATATACAACGTGGTTATTTGCCACTTGTCACTAATTACAATAAGTCACTCTGCCTCTCTGTGATTCTTTGTTCACTTTGATAAAGTATAAAACAACTTCCAGTCTCATGTCAACCACAACTCCTCTACAAGTGACACTAACATAAATCATCACATAGTATACATACTGTGTACAATTACAAATTTTGCTAAATATATAAATAATCTTTATGTCAATCTTTTATACTGCTTTCCAGGCAAGAATCTGACTTTGAGCATACTTTGTTCATTTAAACCAAACATTCATTTTATTTTGTTTCTATATATATATATATAACATTCTTTCTTGTATTCTCATTCAATCAAATAACCTGTTAATTAAATCATATACAAGGATTTCTTGACTAACAATACTTAGCAAAGGGGAGTAACTCTCATTTGCTTCACATCACAATTGTGTACTCTGCCTCCTATATACCCACAAGCAAAGAAAAGGCACATTTACTTATATAATTAAATTTAATACATGTATTTACATTGATGTTATTGCATTTAGCTTGTTTGCTTAGTACTCAGGGGCAGAGGAGAAGTTTTTCAAAGCATTAATGCATTTTGCTAATTAATCAATAGAACCCCACCCAAGCTCAAGAACCCTGACCCTGGGGCCATGAAATTCAAAACTTTGGAAGAGGCATCCTTTCTCATCATAACTATGTATTTAGTTAGTTTAATTAATACCAAGGAGCAGAGGAGAAGATTTTCAAAGCATTAATTTATTTTCAGTATATAATAAATAAGCCTCCCCCCCCCCAACATGGAACCCCTGACCAAGGGGCCATGAAATTCACAATTTTGGAAGAGGCACTCTTGCTCATCATAACTATATACTTAGTTCATCAGCTCAATACCCAGAAGCAGAGAAGATTTTCAAAGCATTAATTTATTTTCAGTATATAGAAAAAAGCCTCCCCCCCCACACATGGAACCCCTCACCAAGAGGGGCCATGAAATTCACAATTTCGGAAGAGACACTCTTGCTCATCAATACTATGTACTTAATTCATCGGCTTAATACCCAGGAGCAGAGGAGAAGATTTTCAAAGAATTAATGCATTTTCACTATATAATCATTAGAGCCCCGCCCTAACACCAGAACCCCTGACCCTGGGGCCATGAAATTCACAATTTTGGAAAAGGCACTTTTGCTCATCATAACTATGTACTTAATTCATCGTCTTAATATCCAGGAGCAGAGAAGAAGATTTTCAAAGAATTAATGCATTTTCACTATATATTCATTAGAGCCCCGCCCTAACACCAGAACCCCTGACCCAGGGGCCATGAAATTCACAATTTTGGAAAAGGCACTTTTGCTCATCATAACTATGTACTTAATTCATCGTCTTAATATCCAGGAGCAGAGAAGAAGATTTTCAAAGAATTAATGCATTTTCACTATATATTCATTAGAGCCCCGCCCTAACACCAGAACCCCTGACCCAGGGGCCATGAAATTCACAATTTTGGAAGAGGCACTCTTGCTCATCATAACTATGTACTTAATTCATCGGCTTAATACCCAGGAGCAGAGGAGAAGATTTTCAAAGAATTAATGCATTTTCACTATATATTCATTAGAGCCCCGCCCTAACACCAGAACCCCTGACCCTGGGGCCATGAAATTCACAATTTTGGAAGAGGCACTCTTGCTCATCATAACTATGTACTTAATTCATCGACTTAATACCCAGGAGCAGAGGAGAAGATTTTTAAAGAATTAATGCATTTTCACTATATAATCATTAGAGCCCCGCCCTAGCACCAGAACCCCTGACCCTGGGGCCGTGAATTTCACAATTTTGGTAGAGGGCTAAATGCTTATTACAATCATGCCAACAGTTTGACTGCTTTATGTCCAGGAGTAAAGAAGAAGATTTTTAAAGATTGCATTAATTTTGATGGTTTTAGCCCCACCCCTCAGGCCCCAGGGGGGCAGGGGCCTTGAATTTCACAATTTTTGTTCCCCGTCACCCATAGATGCTATATGCCAAAATTGGTTGAAATTGGTTCAGTGGTTCCAGAGAAGAAGCTAAAAATGTTCAAAAGTTTACGACCGATTGACGACGAACGACGTCAGACAAAAACAGATAGCAATAGGTCACCTGAGTGACTCAGGTGACCTAAAAAACTAGTACATGTATTAAATAACATTCAATTAATTATGTCATGCATTTTATTACACTTTTCAGACTATGTCAATATAATTTCCTTTTTTATATCCAACATGCAAAGTCTCATTTTTCATTAAGTTTACTAATATCAGCAATAAAAGGCTAATGATTTTGAAATACCAGTACCACTGAACAGGAAAAATTGTTTACATTTTAAATACTGGAGCAGCAACGTCCTTTGATGTCTGTAATAATTTTGAATTCTGGGGACCAAAATGGATGCTAGCCAATGTTTGCATACTAATTAATGTTGATTTACTGGTAACAGTAATTCTCTCTGTCTCTCTCTCTCTCTCTATATATATATCTTATTTGTTTTAATCATAAGGCAATTTAAAATAAAAAGTTATAAAGAAAACTTCACATTGGGTAAAATTAAACATAACAACAATATCCGATCTGTTGCGGACAATTTTCATCCACACACTTAAGATTGATTATCCACTTTCATCCTCAATAGAAGAGATTCAATCACTCTACTCAAACATTAGATCAGGTTTAATGACTTTATCGGACATCTCACTTCATTAGGCTATCCAATGACCACTCAATTAATGTCCATTGCTACTCATTAACCTATGATATAAACCAATAGTAATAACCTGAATCAATAAAACTTCCCACTGTCAGAAGCACCATGTTACAGAGGCCGTGGTCCTCCTGATGATATCGGATGTACTCGTCAAGGACATCTAAGGCCCCTCCATCAACCGCCTTCTGCATCAGGCCATCTGTGAAAGATAGCAATGAGTATAATAGTGAATCTAATGTAAATTTTCATTACATTTTTAACAGTGAAATACTGTAATTTGTTAAAGGAATAAAAGTGATATTTTGTCACAGTGTGAAAAAATATCAAAGTGATATTCTTTCACACTGTGAACAAATATCAAAAGTGTGGCAAAACTCTTGATTTTCCTCCCCTTCATGAAAGTGTTATAAACATACTCCCTGGCCTGTTATGGGATAGTGAGAGTAAAACATCATCCTGACAAAGACTAAATCTTTCAAGATTTTCCAAATTATTATTAAAATCCATTTTTATGATTTTCAATTAATCTAACAATTGCTTAGATATGTCGTCTCACAATTGCCCAACTATGATGTCACAGCCTATGACACTAGGTTACAAAAAGACAGAGGCAAAGGGAAAATCATACATAGAAAATGCAATAATCAAAACATGAAATTCAATGTTTTGTAGCTGGATATGGAATTCATTTGTAAGACAGGATTTTTTAAAAATATTTTCACTTGTGCTTAACGCTCTTGAAAATATTAATAAATTGTGTCCCACTTGTGAAATAAATTTCACATGGAATACAAAACATGGAATATCCTCTATGTATTTCCATGTAAAAAGAGCGATTTTCAAGCTGAATAAAACACTTTTTTTTCATTAAATAAAGAGCTAGTATTTCTAAGCTTTACCTGTATACAGTGGAGCCTCACTAATCCGGAAACCAATACTCTAAACGTGTCACTTTCTCGACGAAATTTCTTTAGAACAATTTATATATGCCAAGTATGTTTCAGTAATCCAGACACTTCAATTATCTGGACAATTTGATTGGGAACATAAGCGTCCGGATTAACGGGGCTTGACTGTACACACTTTTTCCATTCACTGAATTTGATATTTTCGAAATGACCTAAGATAATTACTGTGACAGACCATTGTGTCATACGGAACTTATCAACAAAGTGCAAGTATCTAAAGTTTCTCTATTTCTTATATATCACCCAGTCAAAATGACATGGTGATCCATACATAATGACTGTAGCTTAGGCTACAATTTTTATTTCATTTTCAGGGTTAAAATATATTACAAGTCCATGTATAGACATTAATACAGTGAACTTCAGAGAGGTAAGACTGGTCCATTTTAAGTTTCTTACACATGATAGCCCCACCGGTGACCTGATCTTAGGCCAAACCAGAGATCTTTGGCATTGGGCATGTTGCTAATTAAAATCATAATTTTTTTTTGCTAGATGTGAAGAAGAAAACTTTTTCAAATATAATAAATTTTCAAAATGATAACTTAACCCAAGTCTGGGAGCCTTTGTCAGAGATTCATGAATTTCATACTATTCTGTAGAGAGCTTTTTACTCATTTTCAACAAATTTACAACCAAATTTTGTATACTGCAAAAAAAGGGGGGGGGGTTATACATATGTATACACATTTTATTAATATCCCATGGTGAAATTGTTCTTTGAACATATACAAAAATTGTTTTTATCATGATAATAAAAAAAACCCTGGGTTAGGAGGAATTAACAATGGATATGTCTCCGTAGGAATTTGTCATAAACAAGTTTGACTTGACTAATAATCACTATAGATGAGATAAACCATCAAGTCCCATTTTGATAAAGTAACTTTGACATCTGTGAGCATGATTAACAACTTTTTTTCCTCTGGAGCTTTTCCATTATTATATAATGAAATTATTTTGACAAGATAATCCAATATTTGGCACATATATAGCGTTTCTCATCAAGAAAAAAAAAGATGAAGATTCAATCAAAATCCTGCGACTTCAATGTCTGCAACCAAAAAAAAACAAGAGGCCCATGGGCCACATCGCTCACCTGAGTAACTTTGGCCATGCTGTTCATTACCAGACTTCCCCCATTGTAATACCTATTGTGGCCCCGCCCTACCCCCAGGGGCCATGATTTGAACAATTTAGAATCTACACTACCCCAGGATGCTTCCACATAAGTTTCAGTTTTTCTGGTCCAGTGGTTCTTGAGAAGATTTTTAAAGATTTTTCCTGTATATTTCAATGTGAAACTTGGGGTTCCCTATTGTGCCCCCCCATCCCCGGGGTCATGATTTGAACAATTTAGAGTGTACATTACTTGAGGATGCTTCCACATAAGTTTCAGCTTTTCTGGCTCAGTAGCTCTTGCCTATATATTTCAATGTAAAACTTGTATTCCCTATTGTGGCCCCGCCCTACCCCCGGGGGTCATGATTTTAACAATTTAGAATCTACACTATCCCAGGATGCTTCCACATAAGTTTCAGCTTTTCTGGCTCAGTGGTTCTTAAGAAGAAGATTTTTCAAGATTTTTCCTATATATTTCAATGTAAAACTTGGATTCCCTATTGTGGCCCCGCCCTACCCCTGGGGGTCATGATTTTAACAAATTAGAATCTACACTACCCCAGGATGCTTCCACATAAGTTTCAGCTTTTCTGGCTCAATGGTTCTTGAGAAGAAGATTTTTAAAGATTTCTCCTATATATTTCAATGTAAAACTTGTATTTCCTATTGTGGCCCCGCCCTACCCCCGGGGGTCATGATTTTAACAAATTAGAATCTACACTACCCCAGGATGCTTCCACATAAGTTTCAGCTTTTCTGGCTCAGTGGTTCTTGAGAAGAAGATTTTTCAAGATTTTTCCTATATATTTCAATGTAAAACTTGGATTCCCTATTGTGGCCCCGCCCTACCCCCGGGGGTCATGATTTTAACAATTTAGAATCTACACTATCCCAGGATGCTTCCATATAAGTTTCAGCTTTTCTGGCCCAGTGGTTCTTGAGAAGAAGATTTTTCAAGATTTTTCCTATATATTTCAATGTAAAATTTGGATTCCCTATTGTGGCCCCGCCCTACCCCCGGGGGTCATGATTTTAAAAATTTAGAATCTACACTATCCCAGGATGCTTCCATATAAGTTTCAGCTTTTCTGGCCCAGTGGTTCTTGAGAAGAAGATTTTTTTATGACCCCACCCTATTTTTGTCTTTTCTTGATTATCTCCCCTTCTAAGGGGACTTGGCCCTTTATTTTAAGAATTTAAACTCCCCTTCCCCCAAGGATACTTTGTACCAAGTTTGGTTAAAATTGGCCCAGTGGTTCTTGAGAAGAAGTTGAAAATGTGAAAAGTTTACAGACGGACGGACGGACAGACGGACGGACAGACGGACGGACGACGGACAACGGGTGATCAGAAAAGCTCACTTGAGCTTTCAGCTCAGGTGAGCTAAAAAACTAGCTTCCAATCTTTCATTTACAAAACAACTCTCCTTATCAAACCCCACTCTGTCAAGAACTTGACCCTTTGACTAGAAGGGGTCAGCCATTGCGTAAAATCAAGAGAGAAATGAGATCATTGTCTCCGATTTTCTAGCTAATTCTACTCATTACGACAGAGCAGGTGTCACAGATAACTGCTGAAGAGCATCTCTATTCTCCTACGTGATTTACGTACTAACCACTACTGCAATTCTAGCTATATTATGTAATACGCTCAGTCCTTCAGACTACAAGGACAGAATCTTGTCTGCTATTTTGACAGACCAATTCTTTATTCTTTTCAGACACCAAATCAGTTAAGAATGAGCTTGCTGATAGAACTTTGTATCAAATAAAATTCTGGGTATCTTCTATAAGACAAGTCAATTAATTCTGTATATGCTAAATGCGTTATTTGCAAAAATGTGTTCTTATATAAATGAATGCTCCGGAATCATCATTGTTCATGATCGAGGGATCAATATTCGTGGATTTTGTGGGTCACCTTATCCATGAATTTACATCCCCTGTGATCCTCACAAATGATAATTTTATCAACATTTTGGTTCATTGAGTCTTCTGTATATATGAGGTACCCAAAAAATAATGTCCACATAATAGTAAAATTAGGATTGCCCATGAACAGTGACCCCAATGAATTGAAATGATTCCACAGTATATAAATAATCAAAGTACTAATACAGTACTGAAAGACAGGGAAAAAAATAATAAACTTCATGATTTTTTTCAACTTCACAACTGTTTTCATATGATACTAACTTAAAAAAGAATCTACAGTGAAATTAAAGAATAACCATTGTAAACATAATTTTAGATTCACGCTGTATTAGATTTATAATTGAGGGGCCTTTTCCAAATTTAACAAGGTCCGAATTAATCTAGTAAACAAACATTGATGCAGTACAACATTATGCATTCTAGGCTAGTAGTTTGTCTATGTATATATTTAATGATTTTCAAAAGACTGATGAATTTTTAAAATGCTTCACCAATATTTTTTTTTTGTAGAAAAATCTTCAAATTACTCTTTTTTTTTAATTAAGCATGTGTCTTTTGACCAAAGCAATGTTTGCACTCTTCTTCAGTCACACCTTTCCAGATAGCTTTAATGGACATCAAAAAAAATGAAAAAAGGATGGCTAATGTTCCTGAGGTCAGTGTCCAGTTTATTCATTTTGCGGCCATTAATTGTCCTGTTGTTTCTCATGTCCAACAGACATCAACGTACAAGTACAGGAGAAGCGCATGAGTTCCGTACAAAATGCAAACCTACTGTACTTAAGACGGACCAACTGAACATGCCAAGATCTTACATCGGATAAAATGAACATCATCCAACATCCACACATAGAACGCATTCACCGATGAGAACTGAAACAAACGGAGTGAAAGATTTGCCATCAGTTTGATTTCTGTTATAGCTATCTGGTAGGGTGTGACTGAGCCCATACATGGCACTATACATGGCTTCTGTTAGTAAACTAATAGACAGGGTCATGTGACCCCGTCTAAAAATAAAAAAAAACTTTTGCACAAACACAATATTTTTTTTCTTTTCCAACAGACTTTTAGCTCACTTACCATGTGTATTGGTCACATTCAGTAGGAACCCACAGGCAATGGTCCGCAGTCTATCCGCCCCCTCCTCTGTTGTCTTAACATGTTCCCGCAGTAGTTTGAGAAGTAAAAGAATGCCATCATTTTCGTCCACTGCATTTCTTCCAATATCTAAGAATTTATTCAAATTCAACTGAAACTTTCAAAAGGATTACTGGAAACTCAATATCAAATTTCAGATCTATAAAAGAAGTTGTACTGCCATAAACCTATCACCTTTCATAAGGCAGCAAGAGTGAAAGAGTCTTGTACATTTTAACTGCTTATGTACTTTTTTCCTATCAAGTTTATTTTTTGCAATTCAGTCAATATCATCATTCTGAGCATTTAATTTATTGTCATTTTCAATCTTCTTTCTTTTTTAACTTCACTAGCATATTTCATGTGTGCATGCACACTTTTATTTTCCTTCAGTCAGTTATATGTATCTTGAAGGATATAATTATATGTTACATTGAAACCACTCAATACAAAGTACAAAGAATACACTTTCACAATGTCAAAGATAATGTTTTTTTCCCCCCAAATACAAATAATATTTATCATTATTTTGACACCCTGCAAAACCTTATCTAGACAAGGACACAAAACTGTGGTTCTTAATTGTTACTTTGGTCAAACCGCAATCCTGCATTGCAAACTCTGCATGTCTGATAGCCATTGTTGTCAGAACAAAGGTCCAAAGAGGAGACCAAACCAGCTCTTAAAGGAATAATTATCTCTGAATTTCCTGCTACAAGACCAATCTCTGTCAACCTACACAGCCCAATTACCAATCAATATACTTTTCCAAAAAAGGGTTGGCTATTTCACAGCAAAAGAGAGATCATATTGTGATTACTTAATATGCAATTACAAACTAGAGGGGAAAAAATCAAATCAATTTCAATCTTGAATTATCAGTTCACTCCTAGTTCTCTATTGAAAACAATTTTTTTCCTATATCTTAAATTTATTTGGAAAAAAAAAATAAATATGCATTTGTAATGAAAATCATCCTATATGACATTGACCCCAATTGTACTTGTATCCAAAGTAATAAAGAAGCTAAATAATGGTGACAGTTGTAGAAACAACACGAAAACTTTCTGCATCTTTGCATCTATGCAACTCCCTTCAGGGAAAAAGAGCACTTAGTCTCTGTATCATACTGGCATTAAAGTTTTTAGAAGGTACCATTTTATGCAGTCTAAATTGAATTTCTCAATGAAGTGCTACTAAACAATGGACAATATAATGCATATGGGATTTGGAAAACTATTCTTTTTTTTTCTTTAAATCCTTTAAATTGCTTTATATGAAAATGAATTTCAGTTCAGTGAAACATTATACAACTCATACACAGATTGTCTGTACCCTCTTCTGAATCTGATAGAAAACTCAGCATTAAGGCATTTACTTTCATCAATTTTTCCAGGAACTCCTTCCTTTATACCTTCAATGTTTGTTTCTTTACAACACACAAGATTAATCACATGTATGCATATTTAATCTAGGCCTCACATTTACTTGCTTTCAAAGAGAATGTTGATCAAAAACAATGAAATAAAAGAAAATGAATTGGTAACAGACAGAAATAGTCAAACTTTAGAGAACTGCAACAAAGAAATCTGCCTTAATGCAAGTAATTTATAGCTAATAATTGCTGAAGATAACCCTAATTTCCTGCAATAATTCAAGGTCAGCTGGAATTGTTTTATAAATTGCCAACTATCTACACATCAAATAAAGAGAGGGAGAAATGTTTGCAAAAGGTCAAAGTTGATTGGGAATGCTCCAAGGAAATTATAGGGGTATGTAAATAGAGTGAAAGCTAGTAAATGAATGATAAAGAGAATTTAATTCTCCTGGGGATGTATGGCACCCGTTCCTCTCTTGAAGAAAGTGAGAAATTTAATGAGAATCATTACTGAAGCATCTAAAGTAAATAATAAACAACCATTACCAGTCAAGGAAGGAATAAGTGCATTTATCTTATTCCCCCGTATTCTACACCTTGTGGCACTCTGTTGTGAGTTCATTACAAAGGATTTTTCATTTACTCTACAAGTCGAAGCCCTAGAACATACAGTAATGGTGCTATCAACAGACCAACAAGGGTTCTCAAAGCACACAGAAGTCATTTCAGAGAAAATGGGACTTCAACATGAAACACTAATGCCAAAGTTTTTTTTCAAATGAAAACTCATCAATGTGATTTTGGTGTTAAAAAAAAAAAATATTGCGAAGGGCAGCCAGAGGCTTGTTCTTGCAATATACAGATATTGGAGCATCAAATATATATTAGCAACATACATCTATTATTCCACCCCCTCGAAACAAAAACTAACAGGCATCAATCTAACTTGAGACTAAAAGCATTAGCAAAATCTTTATTCTAGTGCATAACAAATGGCATGGCTCTTATTTCAAAAGTTCATCTTTACCCCAAGAGAAAGAATAGGATGCAACTCCCCACATTAAGATATTTCACAGCACAACTTTAATAGCAACAATATATTTCTTTACACACACACAAAAAAAAAGTTTTGCACAAATTCATTCAGTTAAATCATTCAGTTCACATGGGGGGAGAAAAAAGTGACCTTGGCCTTTCATTGAAACCTTCAGTTATGCAGAAAGTATCCATTGTAGCATTACTCGCATTACAATAAATAAAGAGTTATAAAAGTCTATTCTGGGAAGAAATATTGAAAAAAGTATCAGTTCTGGAGCCTATGAGTCATATCTTCACATGATATATACAAAGCACTGTCTCCATAAAACATGTCTTTTATACACAATAAAACACACTTAGTGCACAAAGTTATAGAAAATTCTGTTCTAGCTATCACAAATTACTTCACAACCCACAGAGGTACATATAAACAGAAATCTACATGTGCAAGCAATTAAATTGACTTTCATGGTTCCCTGTAATCGCTAAAATGAATTTTATCCTAAATGAATAAATCTTTTTTGCAAGGTAAAATAAAATAATAAATCTTTTTAGACCATGCCATGACCAATACTTTTACTTTTCTACAACTGACTACTCTCTTACGAAAGTTTGGTATTAGTAAGACTAAACTTAATTGTTAATCCATATAAAGATTGGTATTACTTTCTAAAAACATAAATTTGCCATTTATTTATTTTACTTTACAGGTAATTGTACCTGTATTCCAAATTTCCCTCATCTGAAACAAGCTAATTTACAACAATTTTTACCATTTGTTCTCTGTATTGCTCATAGTGGGAATGATTTTTGTCAATAAATGACATTTATAACTTTATATATTTTCCCATTTTAAAACCTAGTGGGAACTGACTTCTTTGCAGTAATTGACAAGGCCATTTGCCATCATCATTTGATATTTCCCCTTACCCATCCTTGTATCACCTACTTTACATAAAATCTATGAATGTTCCAGAAAAAAATGAAAAAACCCTGAACTTCATCAATCCCAAAAGGAAGACTAGTGACAACTAGCGAAATTAACTTCTCATTTTGTCAATGGAAATGTAGGAATGGTTTCTTTTGGACAATTATTTTTTGTGGTGGATTTTGTACTGTACTCGAAAGGATTCTCATGAAAGGAAACTAAGTAATTAAAACCACAAACTATCCTAGCTAATCAAAGAAAGGGAAAAAACATGGGCGATCACAAAAACATGGTGTCCTATGTGAACTTTGTAAAAAAATTCTATATGCAAAGAAATTAAATGATTCAATCACATTTGCAAAAAATAAAGAAAAGAGGAATGACGTTTTTGATGGCCAATACATGACGGGCCATTATGTTACCCGTACACTATTTTTCCTTAACTTTAGAATATATTCAATGCTTGAAAATGACCTGTTACATCATATGAAAACATAGGTAATCAAAGATTACGAAGCTCACCTCGACGAATGTTATCTTTAAGTAAGGCAAATTTCACATCATATTTTTTTTCTAGTTAGGGAACATCCCAAGATCAATATCCTTTCAAGTTTGGTTTAAGTAGTGCAAGTGTGGATTCAGAATCCAAAGCAAGTCTGGTAGTGTCCATCCCTAGATACATCATCCATGCTAATTTGGTAGAAATATGGCTAAAATTCACTCATGTTGAAAATCTAGGTCAGATACAGCATCTGAAGCACATTGGTTAATGTCCATCCCTAGATGCATCATCCATGAAAGTTTGGTCCAGGTAGGGCTTATAGTTACTTGGGAATGGACCTGCTCAAAAAACTTTAACCTGTCACTCATCTGGAAAATCTAGGTCAGATCCAGCATCTGAAGCAAGTGTGGCAGTGTCCATCTCTAGATGCATTATCCATGAAAGTTTGGTCAAGGTAGGGCTAATAGTTACTTGGGAATGGACCTGCTCCAAAAACTTTAACCTGGTCACTGATCTGGAAAATCTAGGTCAGATCCAGCATTCGAAGCAAGTGTGGTATTGTCCATCCTTTGGATGCATCATCCATGCAAGTTTGGTCCAGGTAGGGCTTATAGCTACTTGGGAATGGACCTGCTCAAATAACTATAACCTGGTCACTCATCTGGAAAATCTAGGTCAGATCCAGCATCTGAAGCAAGTGTGGTAGTGTCCATCCCTAGATGCATCATCCATGAAAGTTTGGTCCAGGTAGGGCTAATAGTTACTTGGGAATGGACCTGCTCCAAAAACTTTAACCTGGTCACTCATCTGAAAAAAACTAGGTCAGATCCAGCATCCGAAGCAAGTGTGGTAGTGTCCATCCCTAGATGCATCATCCATGCAAGTTTGGTCCAGGTAGGGCTAATAGTTACTTGGGAATGGGGCTTGCTCCTAAAACTTTAAACGCCGACACCGACGCCGGAGGTATAGCATAAGCTCATCTCGACTTCGTCGAGGTGAGCTAAAAAAAAAAAAAACCTGTCATGTAGTTGAAAAAATTCTGTGTATTCTTTATACTTCTATTCATTTGTTACCCACCGTTTTCAAAGCAGATATTTCCGAGGGCACGACAAGCCTGTGTGGCCATTGTAATGTCATCAGATTTCAGATGCTGCAGAAGAATCGGTATAAAGCCCTGGATGACACATGGCTCTCTGATCGACTCTACAATAATAAGAAGCATTCATTGTCAACATCTCACCAGATGTACAATCTCATTTCCTGAATTTCACAGAAAATATTAATAGATATACAGTCAAACCTCCTTATCTCAAACTCGATGTGACCTAGAAAAAAACTTCGGGATATCCGAGGATAAGAGATATTGAGGGTAAAATTCTTAAAGAATAAGTGGCTGGGACTTCAAAATCATTTCGACATATCCATGGTGTTTGAGATACCGAAATTCAACTGTATATGTTAAGAACACACAAAAATGGGAAAAAAAATTCAGAGGATGATGTGTACAAAGGGTTTGATTTAGCGTCTAAAATATCAAATGGAGGCATCACTTTCTTTATAATAATGTAATGCATTCTTATGACATAAAGGATGTTACATGTATGGTTAAGTATTTTCATTTATACAGGTTTTTCATTTATCTTAAATACATAGTGCATAACCCCATAATTACATTTCTGTTGAACTGCATAATGAAAGAGAACTGTCAATAATGTTATCAAAAAAATGTCTACTTATTGCATCAAGATTTATGCCCCAATTTTGCACCTTAAAATACAATAGATTGTAATAAGTCAAATGTAAATTCAATGATCCATTTTAAGCGGGAAATTATTTACCAGTCACTGTCATGTTCAAGACAATAAAACAAACAAGATATGTACAGTACATAAAATCAACTACCTGGTAATTGGTATTTGACTGTAACAACCAAAATCAAAATATATTTAATCTTTCTAATCTAAACTCTAAAGGATTAGCCATGAAAAGCTTAATTGGAAAGTGTTGTATAAATAATTTATAAAGACCCCCATGATAGAATAATTAATTGCTAGAAGCTTAAATTTTCTTTCAACCTTTGTCCTTAAAAACCCAATCAAATAACGACTAGTCTATGTCTAAATAAAAAAACAACTAAATTAAAAGTTCTTGAAGCTTTGAATATCCAGCTTAATCTGTAGACCTTGAAAACTGATTAGTGTAACACGAGAATTGAATTTCCCAGATGTTACAATACGCTAATATTTCATGGAAAAGGGTACCATGGTTGTTGTATAGAGTACATGTATATGTACTTTATTGGAAAATGACTCAGTTGTGTGTTATGGTGCATTCTACTTTGAGAATATACTGAAAGTCTGGTCTGCAGTCAATATTAATGAGCTCAGATTTATAATCATCACACGATCTGAAAATCTATGAGCAAATAGTATCAGTCAAGTGCAAAGATCATGTATGCACAAATCTGTTGAGAACGGGGAATAAAAATTGAAATTTTAAAAATAAACCATATTGAATTGTGATCAGGGTTAAATGTTGTACCTGTTTTGCCAAGCTCTGCCAGAATTTGGATGACCTTGCATAATGTTCCATTAGAGGTGTGTGCCATGATGTCGTAAAGATCTCCCAGCATGCCCTTCTCCACAGCGGCTTCCAAAGCTTGGTCCAAATCCTCTTCTATTGAAAATAAACAAAATTTCTAGATGAATAAAAATGCAGTTTAATAAATACCAACTTTTATCATACATCTGAGTTTTCATCATTTATAAATTACAGACACATTATTGGTTTGTTTATAACAGGGTTCTGGACAAAGGTACTGATATATATTCATATATAAAGTTTATTATATTGTGAGAATCAATACATGTGGACATGCACTCAGTAATTCTTTTTCTGTGTATTGATGTTTGGTGGTGTTTTACTTGAATTTTCAAACAAGGTAAATGCAATTATGGGCATCATCTCTAGGTATAAGTATAGCTATATGTTCCATGCACCTATTATTTAATGACCAGTGATGGAACCTTCCACCAAACAAAAGAAGGAGTTGAACACAAGTAACAGAACTAGCATCTCCCCAATGCTTAATATTTAGGACTTACAGTAACTTGTGTAGAATTAATTAATTTTTTTTCTCTATCTCTTTTGATCTCATTATGGCTTCTAATCAACCGCAGTCAGTTCTGAATTAATTTACAAAGAACTTGCAAAATAAAGAAATATTTTTCAGATTTGCTTTCATTCTATGGCAATTCAGCATCAATAAACCTAAATAACAAGCGCCATAATCACAGGTAGAGCCACCAAACATTTATTTAGTACACCTTGTAAAATCCACAAATTAACATTCGTCAATAATGCAGAATGCAATCTTTACTGCCCTCCAGTGCTCAAAGTACAGTTAAAGACCCATGTATAGAGAAAAAATAAAGGATAACATAGGAAAAACCCTGTGATTACAAAACAATACATAACCATAACCAATTCCAATCCCATTATTATTTCTCTATCAATAAAAAAATAAATTGCTTTTTTAATAGAATATGCCTTAATAACTGATGGTCAATACCTAATCAGGCAATAAAATAATCTACAGATTTAATCAGTGATGCATAAAAAAGATTTAAATCAGATCTTTGTACCCACCATCTTGTTCGATCAGGAGGAACTTGAGGATTCGGTCCAGACATTTTTCGGGTTCGTCCGATGTTACCCTCAGACTCTCCACCATATTCAGGATGTCTTCTGTTTCCTCCGCTTGACAAGATAAAGTAGACTCCATCATTTTTATGCTTAACTAAACACACACAATGGTTACTGTACTCAGGCAAATGTACACACACACATTTAATCAATGTCCTTTGAATAAAGGGTGAAAAAAAAAATTTATATTTGTCAATTTAATAATGATCTTTTTAATCCTGATCTGATCTGGTGGGAATGTGACACACCATACAATGCTATCTGTATTTGTGTGAAGAGAAAATCTCCAATGCTGGCAGTCTATAGTCAATCATCTTTTTTTTTCTGCCGGGCATTTAAAATTACAAATACGGAACCCACTGCTTCCACAATACCAGTAAGTTTATGCTGGGATTTTCTTTCATTGATGGAGGGACTGAATAAGAGTCGCAGAAACGTTTTGTCTACCCAATAATTTGCCTCTAGGAATATTCATAACTGTGATGACTATGGGTCAGCAAAGGTCATATCCCTGATGCCAGTGCTTTTTCTATGAATAAAAATTCCATCATACCCCTATTGTGCAATAAACTCATTCACATTGATTGTTTTAAAGGCTATGACAACTAATCACATTTCCTAGGAAAATCGAAGTAAAATCCTTTCAGTGCGATAATTTGAATTTAGAATCTTTGCAGTAATGAGGATAAATGCCTCCCATTAGACAATCCTAAATTAATTTTTTGCAAGTTACGGAGTCAAAGGCGATTGAGAGACATCATATCTTGATCCTATAGGATGGACTCCAAAGCATTCAGCATCTCAGTTTAATTGCCTTGGTAATGATACTTTTTCAGGATATTCAGTGACATTCAGACTTTTATAACACGTTTCTCCAGAAATCTCCTGTCAGTAGTAGTGATAAAAATTAATTTATTTTTAAATTTATCCAAATTCAATACATCACCAGTCCAGCAACAGAAAAAATTAATAATGAAGTCTTGAGATTTTTCCCCTGAAATGTATTCACATACTCTGAATGATATCCGTTGATTCCAATAATTCATAGTAAATGTAGTGTATGAAATAGAATATCTAAATACTAATTTGCTAACAAATTGTTCTTCAAGCTTATCCCAACAGTAAAAAAAATATGTCTATGAAACCTAATCCCTCTGATGGTGATGTATGCTTAAGCTCATCACATTTCAACCTTTCTTTGACTCAAACCAGAGACTTTAGATCCAATGATATTAATTCTATCTTAAATAACCTTGACATGCATTGACCTTGACCTTTACCAAAATACAAAATCCCTTTCTCATAGTAATAACTTAAAAGTTATGCATGTATCTTATCCAGACCAAGAAAACTATATGCTCCACAATTTTTTATCTCTGAGGAATGAAATTCCTTGAAGGGTATATTAGTTGATTCTATTAAAAAATACTGGAGGTCCTGTTCTTCTTTCTTATATATATATATTTCCTGAGGGGTGGATAGCAAATTTTAGACCATAGCTTTGTGTAACTCTTCAGTGAGAAATCGCCAATCATATTACAGGAAATCAAAACTGGAGTCAAAATTTGAAGACAAAAAAGAATTCTGAGGGGTGGATAGCACACTTTATGCCCCCAAGTATAGCTTTGCTATACATGAAAATTTTCAGACTATGAAATAAAGTTATTTAACATATACCACCTGAATTTTAAATAGGAAACATTTTAACAGATGTAAAATTAAAATATTTCAAAACTCTCTGTCTATTGGAACTAAAGACACATAGTTCACTAATAAATATAATTAATACATATAATTACCTGGAGTATTTACATATATACCAGTGCAAAGCCAATAATGCACAATACACTGCTCAAGAATCACCTCTCAAAAATAGATTTATCTGCAATTTTCCCAAGGAAATAAATTTTTTCAATGATGTATGTTGTTCAAAATTCTTAACAACAAGGTTAACCTTGTCGATACCAAGTATCATCAAAAAAAAAAAAAATCAACAAAACAAAATATAATCAGCTGTCTTGCCTCAAGTGCACAATACTGCACCTGCAGAATTGTGTATGTGTGTAATATTGTGTTTGAAAGATATTGCTATGGTAACTTCAATTTATATCTATCTTCTAGCAAGAGCTAATAATGCATTTTTAAAGTCCACAATAAGCCAAATTACCATTTCGCACTCCACCCAATACGGACTCCATAGCATCCTTAGCATTCATTATAGGTATATGTTCTGACTGCATTATCAAATGTTGAATTGCAGATATTTTGAGGGAATCTTGGTGTGTGCACAAATGTTTTCTATTCAAGAGTTTCTGATCAACTCATCTCTTCTCAAATATTTAATGATTTTATTCTATCCTACTGTCAAAATCTAGTATTTTTTTCCAGATGATACCATTGGACTGAAGTGCCACTGTCCAACCAGTCAATTCATCAATCTATTAAAAAAGCTAAAATCATCAAAAGTAGCTCCATTTAGGAAACTTCTAAAAATTTCTGTTCTAAGAGATGGAAAGCTTAATATAAAGCAAAACAGTCTGGAATATAGAAGCATGGTCATTCTTTAACAGCGGTTAAACAAGCCAATAACAAAGTTTCAGGGACGGATAATTTTACTTCGTTATAAGCATAATTTGTTATATCCATTATATAATTAGGTTCACAATATATTTTAAAGTCACAGAGAACAAAAATCACTTCACTGTAAATGTCAATTCACTATAAGTGTTTTCTTTATAAGCATGTTTTACTGTATATAATATAACACTATGACTGGAATATGACATGTACACTATGCAGAAAAACAGCCATACACATCAATGCATATGTACCGGGTATATCCATTCCTCATCACATTATCTCTCCTTGTGAAGTTGTCAAATTTTCAGTATACAGTCAATCACAAACCATCTTTCTTTTTTTTCCAACTCTCATAATCTCTAGAAATGGACGTAAGTTTTAACATCATGTGACATAAAAATCCTGACTAATCAGGTGAAGATTTTATTAAAAGAAGAGCTGATCAGAAACACGTCATCATGGGTAACAAAGTTAATCTGGACTTGAGATGCATTAGGATATAATTTAGGTATTTGAATGCCATTTTAGATTGCACTGCAAAACAAGCAAGGTAAATCCCTGATTAAACGTTATAAATAAAATTATAAATACAGATCAATGCCAGCTGCCACAATTTTAGCTTTAACAAGATGTGATGTCCTTTTAAGAAGATGTGATGTCCAAATCTAATTCTTCTATCCTTAACTTGGTGGGGATTTTTTTGAAATTATATATTTTTATGTAGGATACTTTTTGACCATTAGTAAACTTGAGAATAAGAAATTTAATGTTTCACAGTATGTGACAAATTAAGGATGGTGATCTTCTGACCTTGGGGTCAATAGCTAAGGTTAAATTATTCAATTATTATGTAGTGCTGTAAATGGAATGGAAAAAAAATAATGCAACTGTTATGTACAGCAGTGTTATTAATAGCAAGCTCAAATGACTGTGTGTATAAACATAAGAAATTCAGGTTGGAATCTACTTATCATTCAAAGAAATTTTAATGGGACTGCATGAGAAAATTCTAAAATCCCAATCCTCTTTACGCGCATAGCAATAAGGACATCATGTTTTCATGATTAAAATGGCTGAAGTATATCTGATTTTGTCCGAAATATCAAAGAAGTTCAGAATCTCAATTCTGACATATGGCGAGTCTGCAAAGTTTGAGAAATAAATTGAGAAACAGCTCACTTTTTTGTGTACCATAAATATAAACTTTTTTCAAAGTGTGGCAGTATAGCTCTCTGGTCGTCCATCCCAAATTTTTCAGACCAGTGAGCTAGAGATCTGCAGAGAAACTCGCCTTAATGATTTCACTGTCAGACACATTATTTAATCACACTGAATGCTTACAGTACACTAAGGGATGTTTGCGTCACATGCTAATGGTGAGTGCAGTGGGCGTCCTGAAGCACCGCTCACACTGCAAGCTCTAACGACAACACCTGGGCAAAGAGAAAATTCAGACTTTGCACACTGATCCAAACAATCTTTTTCCACAGTACAGGGTTCTCATTAACGCAAGACGCAGCAAAATTATTTGGGACGCAAGGTTCTTAAAAACGATGCGTCCGCGGACTCATGAGTGGACGTGTCCTCGCCAGCGAGAAAATTCGGGTGCTTTCGAAAACCGGAGATTTCAGATGTTAAGATTTGTCAAAGAAATACTTAATCGAAACCTTCCTGTAACTATCATAAAGTTTATCCTAGAAACAACTTTTCTTGTACCTATTTCTATTTTTTTTTTAAAACAGGGATTGATTATAAGATATTTCATGTTTATTAGTCCATAGTCATAATAGTGTTGCATGCCAAACTCCGATAGCTGTAAACACAAAGCAGCTTTTTTTAACACTTTTGAATCTTGAGTTTTATCTAGAAACCATAATTACTGCTTGTATACACAATGCGGCTTGATTATCTCGTGAATTTCACCCGGTGCAGACGACCGACAGGATTAGTTACGCCTCATTGCACATGACACCTGTGATTGTATACAGTCAACTTTAGGGTACTAATTGATTATGCAACAGTTAATTTTAGCATTATAAACACCAAGTTTATTTTTATGGCAGTTGATTACGCGAGTATTTTAGAATACTTTGGCTTGGATGCATCACCAGTATACATATTTGAATATGTTAATCTTTCGTAAACAAACTGTTAAAAAAATGAAAGATTTTTTTTGATGTTTGGATGGAAGGACACTGCAATAATTCAGTTGGGACTCAACATAATTTTTCTGGGACGCATCAAATTTAGCTGGGATGCAACCTTGTAAGAAATCTTGAGTCCTGGGACTCAAGTTAGCAAAACCTAGTGAGAACCCTGCGCAGTAACTGCTGGCCCCACAATCCTTTGTGTTTTGCATCTTGCAGCAAAAAACATTCTTGTGGTAACAACAAAAGTTCAACAAAATATATGCTTACCTTGAATTAAATGGATATTACAGATATATAGTAGATTAAATGTCCTTTATTGAAATTAGCACTGTTCAGGCTATGGTTTGGTAATGCAACTTACATACAATGTCATGTGACATCAGAGTCTAGATGTGCCAAATGTCACATGGGGTTTGACTGAATCTGCGGTATCTGCACTCGCCCTAACGGTCGCATCGTCAACATATTAGAAACCATTTTTAATCGAAAATTCTTTAGTATAAAATTCTTTTGTTTGTTTGATATTTTTTTTTCAATAAGGCAGCAAAGGTAAGAATGGATTAGGTTTTTTTTTTGTTGCAATTAAATTTTAGTTGTTGATTGCCCTCTTACAGGTCCAGGAAAATCACTATATTTAGCTATATAGCTTAATTTACCTATATAGCTTAATTTACCTATATAGCTTTATTTAGCTATTTTAGAATAAGTTTCTGTTTTATGAAAAGCAAACAAAAAGTCGCATGAAAATTATGGCTGATATTTTTTTAAAAAGGTTTGATAAAAACAAGCTAGGGCATAGGTAGTAAAAACATTGCCTCTTTTAAACACTTTTTAACCCAAAAATGCATCTCTATTGTTTGGATAGCTGTCCATTACTGGAAGTGCGATGAGGCATGACTAAGTGTGATTGCCTTGCATTGTGCTGAATTATTACCAATCAATTATCTTGTTGACCAAAACTGCTTTTCTTTGTTAAAGTAGCTGCTTAATCACAGATTAACTGTTATACATAGCCCCAAAACTTTTAGATATTTGATTGCAATTGCACAAAAGGAGAAACATTTTTAAAAGTGGGTTTTTGGTGAATTGTTTTCAGTCCATTTCAAAGTTGAAAACTAATACTGCCTCATTATGCGACTTTTTGTCTGCTTTTCATAAAACAGAAATTTACTCTGAAATAGCTAAATAAAGCTATATTATATAGGTAAATAAAGCTATATAGGTAGATTTAGCTATATAGCTAAATATAGTGATTTTCCTAGACCTGTCTTAGCTGATAATTGAGCTGAAGGTTCAATATCGTTTTTCATCAAGCTACACTTACGAACTTAAGCAGATGACCACCATTTTCAAAGATAAAGCCATGATATAAATGCTATCCGCTAACCTAAGCTGACACCCATGACTTCCTTTGATAATGACAATATTTTTTTTTTAATGACAGGGATTAAAACAAATCCTCGTATTATTTGGTTCCTAATCTTTTTGGAATAGTTGTATGCCTCAAGAAAGTATAGGCAAACAAGATACTTACACATTATTGGTTAATTGCTTGTTTCCCTCCAGGTCAGGATGATAGATCGTGTGGAAAGTCAAACGACTCTGTGCGCTGCCATGACACCGGAAGTTAAACAAAACGCAATATTGGGGATTAACAAAACCCGGAAAAATATTACTTTACTTAGCAAAAATAAATCAGCCAAAGCTTTCTTATGAAGGAGAATATATTTCTTTATCGTCAAACATTTTAAAACGCATATTGATGATGTATGAAATATGAAAGAACAGTTTTTCTTGCAAGGCATTTGGGGGACCGAATGGATCATGTTTCACCGTCGAAAAAAATATTTCCTGGCGATCAGTAAAGTATAATATAGGTATCTTTCAGATACTTTTGAGTGACATATTTTACATAATTGTTAAATATGAATATAAGTCCTTGAAAAGAAGCGGTAATAAAATATATCGGTACTCGCTCCGGAATTTTAACTTCCTTCTTTTGTCGACCTCCACATTTCTCCCTACTGGTTCTACAGTTTATAAACTTGATGGCGGTCTAGGAGAAAATACGTGATGTCTTATGCCGTAGTTCTGAAGGGTGGGCCACCCTGGGGATTTAGGATCCAGGGTGGGAAGGAATTTAATGAACCGATTTCAGTCGCCAAGGTTAGTATTTTTAACTAGTTGATCGCATATGTTTGATTTAAAAAAGTTGTGAACAATTTAAGGTGCTGCTCAGGTGAGAGAATCTGAAGAAAGTTGTCAATTTGTAAACCGGGTGGACGATGTGTATTTTTAAAGTGAGAAGTCGCGTTTGGACTTAAATACTTTTAAGGATAGTATTTGAAGTACTTATATAAATTTGTTATATCTCTGTAATAAAAAAAAAGAACTAATGTGAACTTTATATTAATTTTTATTCTTTTGACATTTAATTATGACATACCCTCTTGGACACAATTATTGGAGTTTAATGTACTGTACAAAAATCTTCTTGCGTTTTAAAGTGCTAGATAGAGATGTCATCTTGATCTTTAATCCTGTTAGCATTCACAATAATTTAAACCTATCAGTAGTTAAAACTGTTAAATGGCTTATAATGTGTATAATCCAACTTAAATAAATATGTTAGTGTTGTGGTTGTAATGTAAGGTCTGAAATTTGTTCCCTTTCTATTATGATTTAAGTTGACATAGCTGTATAATAGGAATGGGTGGAAGGTGCCTTTTCTTTTCAGATCTTTAAAGAGAACTTTACAAGGTCCTTCAGTAATCTATAATACTTGGCTGCAGTTAAATCTATATATATCATGTATATGTTGCAGTTATGTTATACTGTGTGAAAAATTAAAATAATTCAACTAAATGCAACTGAGTAGTAAAAATGATAGCATGATAACATGATTTCCATTGTCAGATTTGACTTAGCAAATAGATATAAAAAAATGACTTTAAAATTTTTTTTCTCCCTGAAATCTTAATGAACATCAGCTGTTGAGTTTCCGGTAGTCAGTAGATAGGTATTTTCTGAACTGATAGGAAAGATCTATATTTAGCTGGAACATTTTTCATCTCATTTGATAAAAATTTCTGTGATAAACTTGGCAGATAATGATTGATGGTTAAACATTTTAATGTAGAAATATGAATGGTCCATCCATATCTGATGTTTGCTCTTCTTTCATACCACCGGAAATTGCAGCCTTTATGTATTGAAAGTTTTTAAAGGTAAAGTATTGAATAGTTGAGAAAGTGGGAAAATTTGACAATATTAAGGTCTAAGAAGACATGGCTTTTCATAGGTTTCTGAAAAGAATTCTAATTGAACTCCACATTTTGAAAGAACAAAGGGCAAAAATATCTAAAATACACTGTGTGCTAACATTCAATGTATCATTGTCTAACTCTTTTGAAAGAGACATAATGCTTGCTCAGGTCAAGCTTCAAGGTTCTTGGATTGTGTATTTTTTTTCATTATTTATGCACACGTAAAGATGTTGGTATCCTATCTCGTTATGAATAATCTTGACAAAATTATATATTTTGCATTATGTAGTGTGTGCATGTGTGTTTTACTGAAAATTGTCAGAACACCATGCAGATGATCTGGTAGATGGAGAAATGGTAGGAAAATCTTCAAGGGAGGCAGGGCTTGTCTGATCCAGTATATGATCTTTTATTGGATCCAACCCAAATGATTCAATGCAGAATAAGTGTGTTATGTACAGGGGGCCTCACACTGACTCTGTACCTGTAATCGTGTAAATATTGCAGCAGCAACTCGAGAGAGAAACATGTGCCGCTTCGAAGATAAAATTCAAAACATTTGATATAAAAGATTTTTTTTTTTTTAAGATGAACACTGAGAAAATTTTTTAAGTACAAAGAGGTACAGGAAGAATTTTTTTTCTTTATGAATTAAAGTGTAAATCTGATAGATATTTTGAAGCTGTATAGTATATATATCTGTCATTGATGGCTTGACACTTAAGTGCTTCCTGAATGACTTCTGTTCAAATGTGTATTTAAGGAGTTGTCTGGTTTACGTACTTGTCAGATTACTAGAAATTTACAATTGACAAAGAGAAATTCCATTTTTTTTTTTTTGGCATTGCGCTTTCAGAATAATTGTACCTGAATGAAATTAATTCATCCATAATTCAAAAAAGAAGAAAAAATATAATATGGTGATAATTTTACCATCTCTAAGTTTGCTCGTAGTATCTGTATGTATGATATTAATCATGAAAAGTTTTGAGGGAAGGAACCCAGCAACAGCCAAGTTAATGTTATTACACAATTCATTATCCAGCTCTGGATGAGTTTTAGCATTGAAGTGAGGAATTTGTTTGTCTATTATTTTTTTGGCTACCTTCAGTCAGATCTTCCTGTGTATCCAGATGAACTGCCCCCTCTTAGCTATTACTTAATGCCACAGTCAAGCTATAATACAAATATTTTGCTTAAGGAAGCATTTAGCATCTAATAGAAACAATTTTTTTGCAAGGAACCTACTAACAGTTGCTGTCTGGTTTTTCATTCGATCTAGAGATACTGTATTTTCATTTATCAAAGAAAAGTAACTCATTGTTCAAGAGTTGTTTCAACCTTTTTTTGTGGTAGAGGATTATTTCCTGGAAACTGTCAATTCATAGTTATTTTTGAAATGCAAATCTTGGCTTTTGAATAAAGTATGACTAGTAAATGCATTGTATTCTTACGTAAATGCATAAAAAAAAATGTGCAGCACCAAGGGCTTAGTCTGGCTGTAAGATTATGATGATTTGATGACCTTCTTACACAAAATTATTAAAAACTGCCAAGACACATCTGTCTGATTTATGACCAAAAGGTAAAATGCATGCAATATTTTGTAATTGAGCATGCATGGCTTGGTGTAATTTTATGATATTTTATGATTTGTTAGTTTTGCTTAAACAGACTGTGGAGTGTAGTATGGGTTTATTGAACATGGGGTCAATTAAGTGCTATAGGTGGATGAATGTAAAATTAGATGAGAAATTAAATCAGAGATGTAATTTAAAGCATTGTACAGTACATAGTCCTGTTAGAAAATGTAGTGCAAAGAACTCATAAAACTTTAATTAAAGGTGCTCATCCTTCAACATAAGAATTTGTTTTAAATATATTTTTTTTTACCTTTCTATAAATGATATGTCTTACCCTTCATAGCATTTAAGAAATATATACCAATTCAACTTTTTAAAACCGTAAAACAGAAAATCTGTCCACCCAAGTTTGCATTCCACAGAATTTACCTTATCAACTACATCACACATATTTCATCTTAATCTTCCCATAAATTGAACAGGTCTTGCAGGAAGTAGAAAAAATTTATAATTACTAGCTGGTAGCTGTCTTGTAAGAATTGGGCAGTAAAAATAATAATGTAAGTATAAGTGTTAAAAGTGTTTTGTCAAAAGATGTGTCTATCACTAAAAATAACCAATGCAGAATGTTGTCTTATAGAAAATGAAATAAATATTCTTTTCAAGATATACTTGCACACCAAATCTCATTCGAGAAGGGAAAAATCCTCAATATTATTTGAGATATTGCGAAGTAGGAGACTGGCATACTCAACCGTCTAAAGCAACATATATTGTTATGTAGTAAACACACTTTCTGCAGGTTGTATAATCATTAATGAGCATATCTGGCTTGAGGCTCTGACGTAAACCTGGTTAGATGGTTGTAAACTGCAGCCTCCCAGTAGCTGCACGTGCAGGTGCAAAGTAACATGTTATCATGTTTGTCAAAGTGAGTTTTTCTTGCTACATAGGTTACTTAGGTGTTGAATTAAATGTAACAGAATTTTAAACAGTCTTGTTCTGTTTTTTTTTTTTTTTTTTGGGGGGGGGGGGGATTACGGCTTAATAGCTCATTTTTAGTGCACAATGAGGATAAAAATTAGATACCATTGAGGGACAAGTTGGAAAGCATTTTGAATCTTAACACCTGTTAGATAAATTGTTTTATTCACACAGTAGCCATGATGTAAAAATTTAAAGGAAGTTGTCCAGTTTTATTCACGGAATGCAAAAAGAAGTAGTCAGATTTTTTTTTTTAAGTTTCAAGACCATGGTGTTTAAATTTTGAGTGAAGTCAAAATGATGTATATCTGTAGCAGAAAAATCACTTCATAACTGTGTGTTTTTTGGCAGATGAGTTCTTCGTATTTATATATATATAACTCTGCAGATTCTATTTTGGGGGAAACCTCAGCAATATCACTCTAACCTATCCTGTTTATACATAATAATCACGTCTTTCAAGTTTATTGCTTAATTTTAACTTCAGCGTACACATATTTAGAGCATGACTAACGCAAAAAAGTGGCAGTCAATTAAAAGATGAATAAGTCTTAATTGAAATATTTTTGGAAAATTGGCAGTGTACACAAAGTTAATGCAGTATAGTTCCTAAATGAAAATCCTTCCTTAAGGATATTTTATGGTTTGTGCTTAAGTCTTATCATTTGGATGAACAATCCCAGGAGAAAAATTCTGACAATAGATTCAGATTCCATGGTGATGACCTCCGAGGTCAATGTACCAGTAAATTTTCTCCCATGTGATGTGTGCTAGTTGCTGAGGAAACTGGGTTCCTCTTATTCAGTGGTGGGATTATTCAAATCTATTAAGTTAAACTGAAGTAAGTAATTTTTTTTAAATGATTTTCTGGGGATTTGAGAATTTTGTGATGTGAAGGAATGTTTTTTGGTGAAGCTCAACCAACTGCTGAAACATAGATTTGATGTATGTAGGTATGTAGATCAGAGACACATGTTAGCTATGAAATTGCCAGTAATTAGTTCCATTCCTTTCTGTCTTCTTGCTTGAGGCTGATTTAAATACACCATAATTGTTCCTATAGGTAAATGTCTTGTCATTATCTCTTTATTCAATGTGAGGTTAATATTAGTATTTCAATTGACCAGACAGATGGACCAGTCAAAATGGCATAATATTTAAGTGAATTTTCTGTTCCAATCTTTAAAAAAATGACGTCGTTTAAATTAAACTTTCAGAGATTATAATGGTTTGCATAAGTTAAATTTTTCCATCTCTTTCCAAAAAAAGAAAAAAAAAAGAAAAAAAAATTGAAATAAATTTTAATTACATTTTAATATTGAAATGCTTAGTACATGTACTTGATAGCTAGACTGTGATATCAAAGCATATGTTCTGATAATATATAGTTCCATAGATGACTATAATATTTCATACTTAGCTATGAAATAACTGTACTAGCAATGCATGGCACACTATTGCTGCTGGTAATATTCTTGAAAAAGCAGTTTTTATGCTACATTATTTTTTTTATGTATAATGGAGAAACTGTATAAATACTGAGAAAGGTATAGCTTTAAAGAAAACCAAGAAAGAAATTATTTAAAATACAGGCTATGGGAGAAATTGTAGAAACAGCATGCACATAGCTTTGAAATTCATTCAACTGGGACACAATTGAAGAGAAATTTCTTCTTTACAGTGTGTTTAGTCTATTGGGGTTGGAGAGATTAGATAGCCCAGTATGTGTGGAACAATTTTGTTTATGCTGGCTAATTCCTTTTTCATGGCTACAATAGCCACCTTCTTCCTTTTCCCCTCAGAACACCATTTCTCCTAATTATCAGCCTCAGATAAGATAATTGAGTGTAGGTCTGTTCTCACTATGGAGGCCATATTGTTCAATCAGCTGTAAAAATCAACAGTTCCCTGCAAGACACCGTGTACTGTCTGAGGTGCATGCAACAGAGATTAATAGAATTTATATATTCTCAAATTCTTATCAATATATATGTATTTTTGCCAGTTGATTTTTTTATCTTTTCAGTTGCACTTTGCACATATTACAACACAAGTTTTTTTTTTTCCTGGAAGAATTGATAATATCATATAACAGACATGTTTGATGATGGTGGTGCATTTGGCATTTGAAATTTAAAGTGGTGATGATTTGAAACAGACAAAAACTTTGCAATGGAGAGACAGTAGCAGAAAAGAGGATGATTCAGGATTCCAAACCAAGATAATATGGACAATGTCAAGGCTTCCAAAAGTGAGAAACATCACTTTGTAGTGGAGAATTAATTATTAAAAAGTCATATTTGGGCCAAAGGATGCTTATGACTTGTAAACATGCCTTGCTCTTAACCAAAGTAATTTGTTGAAGGCCATGTTTCCAAAATGTAAAACTTCTCACCATGGCATGACTTTATAATGCAGGAATAGTAATGGTAGTTCTAAGCTCTTAGTACACTTTAATTGCTTTGGAGCAGAAGGTACATGATGATCCCAAGCCAAAGCAATTTGGTCAAAATCATAGGATTCAGAGTTATAATACATGTAGTTAGTCAAGGTCATCATCTCAAGGTCATTCTCATGGCAATGTTATACAAATTGCAGAAACTCAAAGGTTGCTTTTGACCAGAAACTGATGTCTTATACACTAGATACCCTTGGAAAAGTTCAAGGCTATATAAAATGAAAATGTAAAGTTTTTGGGAGACACTACAGTATGAAAGAATTTTTTCAAATATGTAATGCTCTGAGCATGCCCTGTGGGGATATTACTCCCATGAGAAAAGTTATTCTAGTCTAGTTTTCATGGTACATCTTTTCTGAAAGAAAATAGTCTTGCCAGTTGCCATGTTTTTGTTCTCTGAAATTGTTAGTGGTCCAGATTAATGTATGATCTAATGTGATGAAAAAAAATAATAAATTTCACACCAAGTATCAAATATACAATAATGAAGTTTTCACATTTTCATGGAATTTTGAATTGCAAAGATTGCACTTGAGTGCTTATAATTCTGACATAAAGGCTATCTCAAGACTTTCAATTTATAGGTAATGGAGTAAAAACACTTTCATATAGATCATTAAGAAAGGAAGGTTTTTTTGCTTTTAAGAGAAGACATTTTCAGGCACCTGATGTACATGAATGAAGCCCTTGGGGTCACTTTGATGGATTCTAAGATAATGGGGGATGCATGTTTTATGGATTGGCAATAAGAAGATAGAAAGGCCCATGGCAGGTCAAGCAATAAGATTTTCTCAGCTTTTGATTGTTGGTTGTTAAGTTAGAAGTTATTTTCTTCCCTCACTAAATGCACCAGTTTAACCCTGGAGGGTCAGATGGTAAAACAGAAAACACATGTTAGCTAAGTGGGTGAGAGATCTGCTGTACTAATTAATTGTTCACATCAGTTGTGCAGAAGTTTTACCAAGGTTGTGGAATTGTCAAGGTTAGTCCAAGATTTTCTTTCAAAAGCAGGAAAAGAATGTTCAGGTTTGAGTACATCTTATTTACTATTAGCTGACACCCAGAAGTTGTTATGTAGATATTTGTGCAAGTTATTAAAACAAAAAAAATCCCTCAAAATTGTTCCTCTTGCTGTGAAACAACTCTAATGTCCTTGGATTTTCACAGCTGTGATCAATACTTGGTTGATATCTAAATAAGTTTAAGATATAGACATTGAGCCATTGAAACCCCATGCTCTTATCATTTAAACCATTTTTATTACATTATTTCATGGCAATTTTATGTATGAATTTGATTTTGCTTGTATTGTCATGTATTTCCCACTCATACAGTGCCCTGTGCATGATTGGTCAACACTTATACAAGTAAAAGGACAAAATGTTTTACTTAGTAATATTTGTTGGTCATTATATATTTAACACAGTTTAGCATTATGTCATTTGAGTGTGCCAAATCAGTTCTTATTACCGTAGGACATTAAACAATTGTTTTGATTGTCTCCAGATGGAATTGATTTTTTTTGAATGATGACCTTGCCATTGGGCCAAAGTCTGAGGCCCCCACAGCTGACAGACGTAAAGTACTTTTAATATAATGAAAAGGATGTACTGTCATCCACCAGAACCACACATCAAACCAAAATACTTTTTTGCTTCTGAAATTAATCTTGATGGATGGAATTGGAGTCCCACCTGGATAACCCCAGTGCATAAAGCTCCTCCAGGCTCTTACTCTAAGACACATTCTGGCATGATTATCAAAGAATTTCAGAAATGGCAAAATAATCAAGAAACAGTTTTGGAAGCATGTGTTGCTAAATTGAATTTGAGGTGGAAGAGATTTTGAGAGAAAAAATTTCAGGGAGGAAAATGTATAAAAGTACATGATTAATAGAGTCATGGAGATTGGTCTAGATTAATGCATGCCCACTGTTTACCTTGTCAGCTTCTGTAGAAAAAAATGATAGCAGCTAACTTTTCTGATACAGTAATACACGCTTATAGCGAACACGTATATAATGAATTGACTCTTAAGCGAAGTGAATTTCATTCCTCTGGACTTAAAAATATATCGTACACTTAATGGATTTAACGAATTATGCTTACAATGATGCAAAATTTCCATCCCTGGCACTTCGTTAAAAGCATGTTTTACTGTACACGTAGAAATGATTTATCTTGAAAAACTTTAATGGTTTTATTCTTGACACAAAATAGAGGAGTATTTTTCATACGGTAAATGAAAAGTATGTGTCTTGGTCTCAAGATCTGGACATTTTTAGTTCACGTTTTCAATGGGTTTCTAGTTTTTGTTGCGTCAATCTTTGGATTCTTGTTCTTTTACACGTAAAGCCTATCTGGAACCACCCAGATAAGAAAAACTTGTTTTTTATCAAGTCTGAAAATTTGAAATTATAAAGTACATTTAAGATTGCAAGATTTAGAAGTGAAAGATTTTGAAAAGTGATGGAAAAAATGTGTTGAAATGAATTCCAGAAGCAAAATTGTATATTTTGCATTTGAAAAAAATAGTTTTTTATTTAGATCATGCAACAACTTAAACATACAAGCTCTCTTCAGCCACAAGAATTCAATTATAACTTTAACCTTAATTGTCTTTAAATTCATTCTGATCAAAGGCTCAGTTGAAGAGGTCTTTTGATGTGGGGTTGTAATGGAGAGGCATGGTTCATATCTAATTATCTGTTTTTCTTGCTGATTATCAGTGTCTATTGTGTGCAAATATTCTCACCTCTCTTGGCCTATCTTGTAAGACTTAGCTTCATATTTAAACCTATTACGATGGAACATGTATTGTGATATAATTGGACACCAAATAGCACATCCTAGAAACCTGTGACATGCAGTTTTACAACTGTGAGTCATTGTTTGACAAAGTTAAATGTCTTGCGTCTTTCTTATTGATGTATTGAAAAAGAGATTTACCGTGCACAATACCAACTTCTAGATTTATTTTTGCTTTCCTTATACTGATCTGTTACCGAAATTGGGCAAAGGTAAACCTCTTTGGATATTTGAATTGTTCTGGTGGGGACAACATGAAATTCATATCTGTTTTCCTTTTTATTACCTTATAAACAGTTGTGACAAAACGATAGTTGTAACATTACTTGGAAAGTTTGACAAATAGAGAGCTGTTTGAAATTTGATACAGATCATATCAGCCAGAATTGTCAGCTGTAGACTTCTGCCGTCTTGGATATTTTAGTGTGGGATTTAAAGTGTTTTTTATTCAGCTGATTCAAGGATTTCAAAGAAAGTGAGTTTAAATTGTGATTTGGGGGGGAAAAGTTTTAAAGTAAGTTTTTCAACTATGATGTAATAGTAGGCATGCCTTCAACGTCTTGCAGACTGCATTAA